TTTCATGGACTGGTGGGAAGGGCGTTTCTACGGTATACACATCGTTAAAGTAGTTTGAGAATTGTTCAGCTTTACCAAAGTCGTCCTGCAGTAGTGATGAGGCAACACTCTCTTCCCTTAGTGAAGTAACATTTCTTCTTCTTTTTTGTCCTTTGGTTTATGTAGGAATACAAGCGTTTAGGATATTCCAAGGATTCCTTAACAATTTTCACTTTGTACAGATTTCTAGACTTACGGAGGGTTGAGGCACATGTATTCCGAGCTTTTAGATACTGAAGTTTTGGCTCATCAGTCCCCAGTAACTTAATTCTATCCCATTTTTTCCTTCTTTTACGGAGAAGGATGCGAACATCCCTATTCAGTCTTCGGTCTTCAGTAATAAGGATAGGAGGTCTAGTGACCTATATTAATCCTTGCGGTTTGTTACACTGTGGAGGTCAAATCTCGTCTTGAATATATCAACAGAAGGTGCTGATATTACGTGTTCTGGTAGAGAATTCCAGTAATTCACTACTCGGTGCGAGAAACGAAACTCCAGACGTAGACGATTTGATCTCGGTTTTCGGACTTTCTTTGAATGTCCTCTCAAATGCTTAGCCCTAGACGGGAGGAAAAGATAGGACATGTTAGTACCAAGGTCATCGTTCAGGATACGATATGCCAATATTAGATCACCCGTATTCGTCGGTAAGATAACGGAAATAAGTTGAGGTGTCTCAGTCTGTCTTCATAAGATAGGCTAGATAAGCCTTTTACCATTTTTGTCCCGCGGCGTTGGACTCGTTCCAACATATCCGCCTCATATTTGAAACAAGGACTCGCTGCATGAATCCCATATTTCAAATGTGGGTATAATAATCTAAACATTTCCCCATCCAGATACCGGAAAGATCGACAAATAGACCATAATGCCCTATAGCCTTTTGCAGCAGCAGCCTTACAGTGACTGGTTGTTTTGAAATCATTACTTAGTATGACTCCTAAATCTTTATAGTTTCTTACTTTGGGCAACACTAGTCCACATAATGTGTAGTGATACGAATCATCGTAGTTATTTAATTGCATCACAACACTTTTATTAGGGTTTACTTCTAGTGACCACCCATTCATCCATGCAACTAGTGAGTTAAGATCTTCCTGTAAAACTATTCTGTCTGACATACTATATATGGGTCTCCAAATCTTAATGTCATCGGCGAATAGTAGGACGGATGACTTAGCTATAGCTGGTAATTCATTTATATAAAGTAAAAAGAGAAGAGGACCTAAAATCGTGCCTTGGGGGACGCCACTTTTTACTGGTTCCCACGATGAGAGAGCCCCATTTACTCTTACCCGTTGTCTCCTTTCATGAAGAAAGTCACTTAGCCAGTCTATGACTGCATAATGAATTCCAAAACTTTCTAGTTTCAATTTAAGACCAGAATGGGAAACCTTATCAAAGGCTTTACTTAGATCTATGAAAATGACATCTACAGGAATATTGCGATCTTTTGCCTCAGCCCAATTTTCTCTTGCAATGAGAAGATTTGTCAAACATGATAGACCTTTTCGAAAACCATGTTGTTCCTTTGACAAAAGATCATGTCTTTCCACGTAGTTTATAACAGCCATCCTAATCATTTTTTCCATTAGTTTTACAACTGCACTAGTTAAGCTGACGGGTCGATAGTTACTAACTAAATCCCTACCCCCAGTCTTATACACCGGACTGATTATTGCGTCCTTCCAGTCTCTGGGCAATCTGGACTGTCGCAGGGACATATCAAACAGTATCGCTTAGGGTTCACCAATAACATCTGAGAGGGCTTTCATAATCCGAGGATGAATATCATCAGGACCACTAGACTTATCAGGTTTGAGATTCTGAAGTAGGCTTAAAACAGTTTCTTTCTTAATAACTACAGGGTCCATCAATAAGTCGCCACGATCACAATGAATAGGTGATCGTTCCTCATTATTGGTAGAAAAAACTTTACTGAAAAAGCTTCCGCTTTTTCGGTATCATTTCTTGCCAAACTTAACGGATTTTCTTGTATCAAAAGTGATGGTATTCCATCACTTCTCTGAGTTCGCCTCTTTATATACGAGAATAACCGTTTTGGACTATGTTTGCAATCCCTAACCAATTGTTTTTCGTATGACCGTCTAGTCCTACTAATTAACGCTTTACAATTATTTCTAATCTTACGATAACTAGATCTGTACTGTTCTAAGCCAGTAGAGATGAACATGTTCCAGTGTTTTTTTCTACGCCTAAGGAGTTTCTTAACTTCTTTATTTATCCACGGTGGACTATTGTTCGGTCTTAGTGGCACCAAGTATGGTATAAACGGGGACGTGACTGCACTAAACTTGCCTTTAAATACAGACCACGCCTCATCAACTGATGAGCTAGTATCTACTGACCAATCTATCTTAGTAGCACAATCCTGAATTTCTGGTATGTTAGTTCTCCATATGTTTGGGCGAGGCTTAATCTGATCGTATATCATATCGCTAGCTCTGAACGTGAATGATAAAACAGCGTGATCGCTATTTACTAACGGGGGAAGAATATTTAGGTTAGCAATATCCTCAGTCTCATGGGTAATTACCAAGTCCAACAGAGAAGAACCTTGGTTTACACCGAAACGTGTAGGTTTGGATACATGTTGTACTAATGCATGTTCCATTACTGTTTCCAAGAGCCTGCTATCAAATGAGTTTATAGAGCATTTCGTGGTCATCTCAGTCCAACTAATGTCAGGTGCATTAAAGTCTCCTAGTATCAAGCATCTGTTATTTGCACTCCATAGCCGAATGTGCTCTAAAATAAAGTCATCAGCTAAGCAGATTGGGCTGCGATAGATGACACCGAGTGCAAATGTACAACATCCGACAGTGAGTTCACAGCTAATGACTTCACTAGTTCCACTATCATGGGATTCGCAAACGGAGGAGCGGATATTTATACTATTGGCTATGCATAGAAGGACGCCACCTCCTTTCCTGCATCTATGTCTATCACTAACTATGGACTAACCAAGTTTCCGTCACAGCTACAATGAGTGGCCTTAATTTGTCCACTAATGTTCCCAGCTCGTAGAATTTATGTTTTAGACTACGGGCGTTGGCATATAAAACTCCTAGGGGGAACGACCTATCCACACAGGCCTTGGTAGCATTCGCTTCCAAGACCTGACTATTCGAAAACCCACCAATCGAAAATTTACTTCACCGTTTTGTCGACGGGTTTCTAGTTCAGCTAGTGCCGTCTTCCTTTTTATTCTATCTTCAAGAGACACATCCGGTTGCATTCGAATGTTAGAGTTGTCGTGACTTCGATCGTTGCTTAACAGAAGATTGCGTTGTTTCTCCGACCCTAAGATTACCTTAAGGAGTCTACACGGTCGGGGTAGAACACTGTCATCGACCCTTTTACCTATTCTAACTAATTTTTTGACCTGAACACCTTTAGTGTTATCTGGTAATATGCTACGGATATATTCTCCGAGCCTCTCTAAGTCATGGGTGTGTCTAACCTTAGGATCTGGATCGTTAGACTCTGGCAATTTACTCACAATAATATTCGATGATATTAAATTCCTCTCGGTCGCACTAGGATGATGATCTGCCGTTCTATCAGAGTGCGATAATGGATTGAATGACTCAGACTGTGAGTTCATCAATGGCTTGTCAACCAAGTGTGCTTTATCATTAGCTTTTTTTCCTTTTCTTTTCCTCTTTAATGCGGTCCATTTTTGGTCATTCAGGACAGCTGCATTGGGACTATTGGGGACGGTGACGGTTTTATCCGGGTCCTCAATTTCTACTCAAGATACATGATTACTCATGTCAATACCATGTGGTGATTTACTCCTCGTTTGTTGTAACGGAAGTTTCACTTTGTCATTAATTAGAGTAGGTTGTTCAGTGCGTTTTGTAACAGCACTTACAACACTGACACAGTCTTCACTGTCAGTGCTTGCGTTACTAGCGCACCAACTATCTTTCTTTTTACAGGCTAGAGCCAATAGGCTCATAGCCTCTTGAATTAATGTCGTCTTGTTAGTACAGCAGAACATACAAGCCAGTGCGAGTTAGGCTTAGAACATCTTTTGTATGCAGCTGGACTGAGACGGGTACACATCTTGTGGTACCATTTTTTGCATTCATCGCACTGCATCCCTTCATCTACGGGGAATAAACAGTTCGGCCGTCCATATTTGAATGAACTACCGACCATTGTAATCAGATTAGGTTTAAAAAACAATATGATCACAATAATAGCTCAAGCGTCAGAGTATATGCAAAAGAAGGAACCACGAGACAAAGTTTTCAATAAAATTTTAAACCTTAACTGAATTAATTCAAGTTAAAGTAGACCAAGAATGCTTTTGATACAGCAAATACACAAAAGCAACGATAATCACAATAAATATGAAAGTCACTGCCCTTTTTGAAACGACCAACCTTGACCAACCTATTGAACCATGTCTAAAAACATTAATACTCATTGTTCACAAACATACTGGAAAATAAGTAAACATTTTTAGAGGAATGATACTCAGAGATAACTTTCTCAAAGTTTGAGACATATCAGCATTCCGTTTGAACGTACTAGTGTATACTTTTGTGTGACCTCAAGGGTCTGCGGGATTTTTAAGCCCGAAATGCTAAGATCGTTTTTTAAGAAGTTTATATCAGTTGAGGAGTCCGGGAAGAAGAGCTTCTCGAGTACGATAGAAAGGAATGTTAACCCAACAGATATATGGGAAATTATTTCAGAGCTCGGAGATGGAGCTTTCGGCAAAGTGTACAAGGTGTGTATGTTATTTTACTCTTACTTGTTTGTAGACCCACAAGCGTAACACTGACTTATTTGCCGCACTTAAACGAGTTGATTTCGAGTCTGAGGACGAACTTGAGGATTTTATGTTGGAAATAGATATCCTTACCAATTTTAAGCATAAAAACATACTTACTTTGCACGAAGTTTACATATATGAAAGCAAATTATGGGTAGGTTACTCTTCATATACATTACTAAAAAGATTTATCTGGAACTATGTGGTGGTGGAGCTTTGGATTCTATCATGGAGGCTCTTGAAAAACCTTTGACTGAGCCTCAGATCAGATTTGTCTCCAGAGAAGTTCTTCAGGGTCTTGAATTCTTGCATGAGAAGCTGATAATCCACCGAGACATGAAAGCTGGCAACATCCTACTCACTCTTAGTAATGAAGTTAAACTTGGTTAGTCATAATTTACACGTTTGAGATTTAAAGTAAACAGTCTATATATATAAATATATATATATATATATATATATATATATATATATATATATATATATTGAAAACTAAGATTGTGTTTTGTTAGGGAAATCACGTTGTGATACAAATTCTTCCCACATAATACCAAGTCTTTTCTACCTCACAAAATAAGTAAGGGGTTCGATGATATAGTAATTTTGTAGTGCCGCTATTCGTTAATCAGTCTTACTTCGTTTATTTCGATAACCGTTATAATTGTAATCTTAACGGTGCATAAATTCAGAAGACAAAGGATAGCAGCAACTACAGTTTATTGTCGAATAACTCAGGCCAGAAAGCTAACAACACCTGAGTGAATATTGAAGAGCGAGCGAGCGAGTGAACAGGCGAACAAACGAAGGAGCGAATAGCAAGTAATTACATAGGCAATTTATAGCCAGATTTAATAAGGGCACAGCAAAACAAAACAAAGGCTAATAATAACATTTGCGTGCATACATATATGAGGAGGAGTATGAGCCATCGAATGATATTTAAGCAGTCAAGAATTTACGTTTCAGTATTTTTATTCGAGGAGTCGACGCAGTAAACTTCTGGAGGACCCTCTGATTGGTTAGACTTATTTCCCAGTATCTTAGGGCTGAGAATTTTTATAATAGCACAGGAAAACTGATTAGCTCATGTTTAGTATGAGTTCTCTTTATAACGCATGCTTTATTCTACAGCTGCAAGCATTCAATCTGTAGACATTTATATAAACATAAATGTAGATTTCACATGATATCTAAGTTATTTAGGTGAGTTCTTGGCACATTCAGCGAAGTTCTATTTGAAAAGTGCATGTTCAAGATTTTGAGTTTGTTCATTATTATTTACATATAAGGCAGGTAAAGGGAGATGAGCTAGATATCTGTACATATTCGACATCGGAAAATAATGATCAAATACATGTAGTCCGCACATAACAACCATTTTGAAAGACGTTTCACACTCACAAAAGCAATAAAAATCAGCATTTCAGTTATAATTAGAACTCCCTCATAAATAATGATAAAGTATTAAACGAAACCTCCTTGTAAAAAGTTTCGATCTGGAGTTGTTTCCTTTTTTGCTACGTACTGTTCGAAGACTAATTCTATTCAGTGTTATTGTAATTACGATACTGTCGGGCGGTTATATCCCTGTTTTTGTCTCCTCGAATTTCAAGTTCTGTACAGAACACATACCGAATTGTGTATATTCATTGTTTTAAATCGTTGTCCTTCTATGGATACATCAATATAAATATATTTTCGAAATAGTGAATTTAAAGATAATTTCATTAACAATAGGCTTTCTAAAGTTGTTTATTGATTAACAGCTGATTTTGGAGTTTCTGCCAAGTTAGCGGATGAAAAACAAAAGCGGACGACATTCATCGGAACACCTTACTGGATGGCACCAGAAGTTATCAACTGTGAAACTTTCAAAGATGCACCTTATAACTGGAAAGCAGATATATGGTCTTTTGGTGTGTTTCACTGATTTGTTGTCAGTAATTATTCTTGATTAATTATGTGATTCTGTCGGTGATTCAGCTGTTGATTTTAAAGTACATATTATTATAAGGTTTATTTCGGACATATCAGGGTTTATCGTCACTTTCGGGTTTATTAGCACAAATATTCGACTTCGTCTGTTTTATTCATGTCATATAGCTGAATTAAAGGGTATATATATCACTGTTCTATTGACCAGTTCTAGTTTGTTGAGTCACAATTTGTAACTTTAAATACAACAAACCATTTCTACGCTACTGGATAGTATTGTTATCCTGGTAATAATATGAAGCGCATTCTATTTCATAAATATCTAAATGGTCAATTATTCATTTAGTGATAACTTACATTTGATGATATCTACATTTTCCATCGATAAAGATAGTGCTATTGCCGTAAGTGTTGCACTGCTGTCCCGTTTTTTGATGTATCTGGGCTTACTGACACCAGTTTGTGTAGAGCGAAGCTCTTCGTTAAATTAGTATTTTTTGCTATCAAAAACTTCCTTGCTGAGTTTTATTTTAGCTATAAACACAAAGGGTTTCATATTAGATTGTATATATATATATATATATATATATATATATATATATATATATATATATATATATATAATTGGCTGAGATTTCTCACTTGTACTGGTGTTCCGATGCGTACTGAGACGTTTTTTAGACTTTGGTAGCCTATAAATGTATGAACGACGTTAATTATTCTAAATTGAATAACACTATATAAAACTTAGCCCCACTTAATCTCTTCGGAAGTGGTAAATACTTTTGTAGCTGCTAGGATATTCCCATGTTCTCTAACCAATATAATTCTATTATATTGTTCACTTGATTCGTAAAATGGATTATTCAATCAAATTGAAGACTGAATTACATAATACAATGTACTTAGTTTTGAATATTTAAAGACTTTAAACCCTGCTGTTATCAAACCTTAACCCAAAGTTCTATAATAATGATCTGGATTGTAATATAGCAGAAGCTTAGTCTCCATCATTAATTCAACTATGGCAAAAAATAATCTAAACTTATATCTTTGGACGAAGTACTAGTTTCCTGAAGACTACATATTTGAAATCATGGGTCAGTTGAAGCTAGACCACCGTCGAAAACCTGGAAGCACTGGACGGTCGTTTCGTCCTATTATGGGACTCCTCAGCAGTACGCATCCACTATCCCGCACTCACGAGATTCGAACCCAGGACCTATCAGTCTCGCGCCAGAGCACTTAACCGATAGACCACTGAGATGGTGGTCTAGCTTCAATTGACCTACGATTTCAACTACGAAAATACTAAATTCTCCACAAAGCCCTCTCTGACTACATATTTGTCTAGAATTTAGCGTTGCAAGTGAAAAATTCAGATCGGTTAGGGATTCCTGGCCGTTCTCATTCAATACAACTACATCGACCTGTCAAAGCGAATTATTTAATTTTGTTTTGATAAACATATCCCTTTCTTTTTGTTGAATAAAGATCTACTGTTAACTTTGTTTAGGTATAACTCTAATCGAACTTGCTCAAAAGAGACCACCTCATAACGCTACTAATCCAACACGTGTTTTGTTGAAGATTCTCAAATCTGACCCGCCAACTTTATCTAGACCACATTTATGGTGAGTTATTATTCATTTGATGGATTAACCTTACTGAAATTTCGGTTGTTAGTTATCTAAATTAGGTCATATATACATAGTAAGTCAAAGATTTCAAATTCCTCTTCATAGACTTTCTGTACTTATCATACATTATAAGGTGTCATACCCTTGGCAGCATGAACTAATCATAATATTTAGTATCAGAGTTGTGTTTGGTTTCGTTCTTATCACGTACATTTTTTAATGTAGCAGTAGCTCAGTGGTTAGAACCTATTTCGAACCCCATCCTACTTTTGTAGCTGACTGACTGATAATAGTAATCAGAGTTTAGCACAGCTTAGTTGTTTGTGCTTATATGCAGTCGTTACTCAGAGTGGACTCTGCCCTTATCACAAGTTTGAACCTCTTCCTAGATTTCTTCAGTTTTGAATAACCAGGTATTATTACTGACCCTCAAACAGAGTGGCTCAAAGCGGTTTACATAAAATTATTTAATAAATGATTTCCTCCCATTCAAGCTACATATCATTTTGTTCTGGGTAAAACTGTTGGAGTCTGTTTTTTAATGACAAACACTTAAACCAGACTTTTAGTTTGACGAAGACTAGTGATGCTCACTGAGTACCTAAACTAAAACATGTGGAGCAAAATTTAAATCTGTGACTAGTTGGTTTCAAAGTCGGACACTATCTACTTCACTAATTGGTTTCAGTATATCGATTATACATGAACTGTCAATAATACCTACCTTTTTAGACACTCACATAATGTTTATCTTGTTTATATATATTAATTAATAGACTTTTTGGTAAAAATCACAAATTTCAATGAAGTAAATAACATAGATATATATACATGATGGTTTGAATAATTTTTTTGGTTAGCGTTTTTTAGCGAGTTGGTTTTCTACGGGATGGGGTCGCTAACCCCATCCCCAACCCTCCTCCTTTACCTGGGCTTGGGACCGGAAGTAGCCCCCGGAGGAGCTACAGGCGGAGTTTTACATGATAGTAATTTCTTGAAATAGTTATATTTTTCCAGCTATAAACTTTCATTTTATCATGTGATGGAATCTTGTGCCTTGTCTTTCTGTTTAAGCGAATCGTTAGATGTTATGATTCACATTGTACTGTTCGAATCAGTCACTTGGTTATTGAGTTGTATTATTCTTTTTTAGTACAATTCGTATTTTATCGTAGAAAATTTCAATTCAAAGGGTTTTCGACCAATTATTATTATTATTTAAACACATAAATATTGGTACACCAGATACATATGCGCCACACAAATCTCATTTGATTTGTGTGGAGGCTGGGATACTACCCGTATGCCCAAACAGAAACAGGTGGTTTTCTTAGGAGGCCACACCCAGAGCCTTTGATCTAAAGATCTGATCCACAAGACAGTGGAGCATCGTAAGGAGATGCAGTCCCATGGTAGCCGGTGACCAATGATTGATTCATATACCATTTGTTTCCTCAGGATACTGGAGTCCATGTGCGCCATGGGTTTGGGATCAAGGTTTCCTAACTCCCCATAGATGGACTTTCCGTGTCCACCAACCCGGTTAAAGCGTCGGACATTCGCTTTTCGTCCTCTCAATTTCGTAAACAACAGTAGTGCCACGAGAAGGTAATGAGTAGGACTTCTCTGGTAGAGACTATATACGAGTGGCCGTGTGAGAGCATTTCAATAGGTATGGTGGCCCCTCCCCACTCTCGGTCGTACCAGGGCATCTAGGGGCTTTCTACCAATTGTTTTCACGATATCACAAATGAATTGATGTATTTGAAATATCTGTTCTTCTGATAAACAACATAGTACTAATTCAACGACGAACTGTGGAAGAAAATATTACTATCTCTTTATTTATTAACATAACTCTTATGATAAGATTATTGTTAATGATTGATTCATACACTACTATATTTTTAACTAGTAGTTCTGTGGCATGCATCATCTCTCATCAAGAATAATGAAATTTAATACTTTATGTAATGGGTATATTTTTTTCTAGATATTAAACCAACAATTCCATTTACGATGTGCTTAATTATCTCATCGTACAATATTATTCCTTGATGTCCTCTGATTTATGGATTGGTCGTTGATTTTAAAATTTGACAATGTAGTGCTGGATGAACTCCTGGTGATTTCTTTGATTGATACAATAGAATATGCTGGCTAAATACTCGATTACTTCGTTTGGAGCTACACTTATGTATAAGGATTAATAATACAAGTTGAGAGTGGGGAGAGTCCGCTCTCCCTCTCCAAATGCTCTCATATGGCCACGCGTATATAGCCTCTTCCATGGAAGTCCCACTCACTGCCTTCTCGTGGCGGGGATGTTGTTTACGAAATTGAGAGGACCAAAAGCGAATATCCGGCGCTTTAACGGGGTTGGTGAACACGGAAAATCCACCTAGGGTAGTTGGAAAACCCTAATTCCAAACAAATGGTGCACATGGGCTCCAGTATCTTGAGGAAACAAATGGCGTATGAATCAATCGTTGGTCACCGGTTACCATGGGACTGCATCACCTTACGATGCTCCACTGCCTTATGGATCAGATCTTTAGGTCGAAGTCTCTGGATGTGGCTCCGTAAGAAAACCACCTGCTTCAGTTTGGGCACCTGGGCAGTATCACATCCCTCACACAAATCAAATGGAATTTGCGCAGTGCATATGTATTTATGTGTTAAAATAAATAAATAAAATGTTGCTGCTTGGATCAAAGTAAATGCAGAAAGATTTAAGTCTATAACTCAATAATTGGAACACTAGTCTGTTTTTTTCTGTAGCTTTTTGATTAAAATACTTGACTTTCGACCGTTAGGTTATAGGTTCAAAACCCTCTCCACTTAATACGTTTGAAGTGTACCTTAACATCGAGTGCATGAATTTGTACTTGCTTGGTCAGTTAACTTTATAGCTTAACAAATAAATTACTGTCTCATACCTAATTTTTATAACTTCTTTTCAAAAGCTTCTATGACTGTATTTTTCCACTGTACCCTCTTTCATCTAATTTCATTTAGCTAAGTGGTGAGTATTACCAACCCTCCCGTAAAATTGTTTTTTGTTTGATTATAATTTATTTTAGGTCTTCTAAATTCAAAACGTTCTTGGGGCGTACTCTACAGAAAGATCCAAATCAAAGACCCGAGTGTAGAGATCTTCTTTTGGTAAGTCTATGGCTTTTTTATCCAATACATTTTATACTGGCATTGTGAGTGAATGTAGTGATATTCAAGTCATTAATGATTCTCATTTCACCAGTTAGATGCTTTCTCATCAGAAGCACAGCTGTCGTTACTAGGTTTCATTTGAGATATTAAAAGTTACAGCTGTTTATCACACCAGCTATTATGTATAACCGAGTATGGTCCTAATCAAATTAAATGACAAATCTAACAGTAATTCATGACATAGCAAAACGCTGTCATGGAAGTATATTTATCATAAGCACAACATAATAAGTAATTTGCCAAGACCTATTCCTAAACACCTTGTTTTTACTGCTATACTCAAATTAAATTATTTCCTGAGTACTTGTGTATAAGCCACATTCCAGGTGTAAGGGTTAATGATACTAACCGGCTGCGCCAACGGGAATAGGTGGGGTGGGATTCGAACTGAGAACTTATGGATTGAAAGTCGAACATCTTAACTACTAAGCCATTGCTATTATTTACTTACTGGACTAATGTAAGGTTTTATGTCCAACCAAATTGCAAGAGGGTTTCTGCATCAATTCTACTAGTGTATTTCTTTGTAATATGAAAAATCCACTTATGAAATTGATGCGAAAATGCAGTTCATGAAATTGGTTAGTTGTATAATCATTTCGTATTTTGCTTTACGATTTGATCAAAACATGCACTTTCTATGATGTACCACGTCAACTGTGGATGTGAGAAAACTATATGAATAGAAAGATTCACTTGCGTGTTAAGTCCTCTACTTGATCACAGCTAATAAAGTGTATGACTTCGGCACCGGGACGCGTAGAATCCACATTCACAAATCGAAAAGATAGAAGAAAGCGAGATGACGGTTTATTGAGTAAGCGTCGAAAATGTACAGAAAAACAGGTATATTTATAGTTTCTGGTGTAGGCTATAACATCATTATAATCCAGCTAGTTCACAATTAGGAAGTTTATGCAATTTTCCAATCAGAGCATCCTGCGTTGATATTCTAAAGAGTTCTATTTTTTGTTATTGGATGGAATCGCTTTGGCTCCTTTAAGTCAGTCAGTCAGTTACAACGTAGAACTTCGTACGTACGTACATCAGTTCGAGTTGCCATACCACATTAGCACAGAGATCCAGTTATCGATTCAAATCCCATATTGGTAGAAGTAGTAAGAGTATAAGTATTATGAGAAAGATAAGGGTTTGAAGATGTTATTGAAGGAGTATAATCTAGTGAAATAAATTTGGAAAGAGAAAAAAGATATGGACATGAAGAACTCAGAAGATTAGAATTTGGGAGAACACAAAGAGTGGATGCACCTTCGCCATTGCAAACGATTTTCAACCATGTCATTCAAGGTCTCTAACCATCGATTGCTATCATCTCGCCAATCCCAACCAAGTAGTCTACACCTACCAACATGGCCCAGTCCACTTGTCAGTGACTTCATTGATTTATGCCACGTTTTCGCCTGGCCACCCCTAGCTTTCTTCCCATCTGCTCCTACACCATAAAGCATTGCACGTCGGGGCAGTCGGTGGTTGGACATACATAACACATGTCCCAGCCATCTCAACTGATGAAGTTTCACTACTTCATCAATTAATTTGCCATCTTTACCTAGTACCCGTTTCCTAACATCTGCATTACTTTCCCGGTGGTCCCAGGATATACGAGCAATGCGTCGAAGACACCTATGATTGAACACTAGTAGCCCACGAGTATCCTCTACTCTTATCGGCCATGTTTCACTGCCGTAAAGTAGGGCGGAACGGACTGCTGCACAGTAAACACGTCCTTTTGTTGCTAGACGGATATCTCGCCTACGCCATAAATGGCGCAAGTTGGCGAAAGCCAGACGAGTCTTCTGTATCCGTGCTGAGATTTCGTCACACACCAGACCACAAGGGCTGATGAGACTCCCAAGATAAGTGAAGTGGTCTACACGCTCAACTACTTCACTCTCTATCATTAGTTCAGGTGTCGATGCAACCCAATCCTGAAGTAACATTTTGCACTTCGAGGGAGAGAATTGCATCCCGAACATGCCTGCATTGTTGCTTATAGTGGTCAGAAGATTCTTTTAAAGCCTCCGGAGGCTTTGTTACGTGTTTTGAGAGCCATCCGAACATTGTCAAACTCAATTTTAATGTACATAATCCATAGGTATTTACTTGTTCACCCTCTTTGACCTGAATAACGACACGTAGGCGATGGGCCGTTGATCGGGGCATGATCTACTTTCCTCAAATGAATACTTCCGTAACATCTCACCTAAACCTTGACGTTGAGACAATACGTAATTGGCTTTTACGGCACCATGTAGTATATCTAGAAGCACTCAATCTGTTAAATCCTATGTACAATCTTGGATCTACTCTCTTGAAGTATCAAAGAACACTGTTTAATAATTCATCATTTGATCGACACTTTTCTTCAAGTTAAATCTTAGTTACTCCGTGAAATTTCAATTGTTTATTCATTCTCTTTTTTGAAGCTTAAAATGAATATTGATTAAAGTGTTAAAGTGCTGGACTTTCTCTACCTGTTTGTTCACAATGTCTTGAATACAGGTTTTTGGTAACAAACTAATAATGATCTGGGTATTGTACTTTGTTTTCCAAACTCGACTGTTCATAAAATAAAATAACATATTAACACATTATTCTCCCAAATTCTAATCTTCTGAATTCTTCATGTCCATATCTTTTTTCTCTTTCCAAATTTATTTCACTAGATTATACTCCTTGAACAACATCTTCAAACCCTTATCTTTCACATAATACTTATACTTATACTTATACTACTTCTACCAATATGGGATTTGAATCGACAACTTCATCTCTGTGCTAATGTGGTATGGCAACTCGAACTGATGTACGTACGTACGAAGTTCTACGTTGTGACTGACTGACTGACATCATTCTACTTAAGTGACATAACTCTGTGTTTTTATCAACATACTACACATATACTAACTTCAGTATTTTGTTATCATATGTGAATTGGCAATCTTCAGTCAATTTTTTCTTCGGTAGAAGTGATATATCTCGAGTTGTGATAAATTTAAAACTACCCAAACAATAAGGTAATGCTGTTTACCAAAATCCATGAACTGTCATGTGACTGTTGACTTGTGATTGTATAAATTATACAAATGTGTATTATGTCTTCTAAACATAGATTAGGATATTATTATACAAATATTTAATAGATTTGAAATGATGAGTGAATTGAAGGTAGACCACTAGGGAAATCCTGGAAGCACTGGACGGCCGTTTCGTCCTATTGCGACACAAAATCAACAGTGCGCATCCACCATCTCGCCTCACGAGATTCCAACACACGACATACCAGTCTCGCGGTTTCGTGGATGTGCACTGCTGAGGAGTCCCACAATAGGATAAAAACAGCCTTCCAGTGCTTCCAGGTTTTCCATTGTGGTCTAGCTTCAATTGACTCATGATCTCAATTCTATAAAATTACTAACATCTCCACAAAACCCCTTCTGAAAATATTTAATCGAGTAATAAATTTTGATCGTATGTTGATTTTTCTAAAGGGAATTTAATAATATCTACTTGTTTTGTTTTATATTGTTTATACACAGGATCCATTTGTTTCTGATGTGACGGAAAGTGATCGTAAAGTAATTCAAATACTATTATGTGAAGTCAATGCAGATATTATTGAAACAGTTGAAGATTTCGATCCAAATGAGCCGGTAGGTTACTTCAGAAATACATGTATTAATAATAATACTAATAACGTGATCCATCTGTTGAGTAAAGATTCTCATGAGTAGCTTACGGTCGCTTGTTAGTCTCAAAGACTAATGATATTGACTGTTTACAATACCATAATTAAAATGTGAAGCGAACTCGAACTTGAAATCTATTGATGGGAAACGCGAATGCACTATAATTGATATGCCGTAAATAGATGACATATTCAAAGGCTTTTTTATATCAAGTAGTCTCTTTGAATGATTATTGTTAGAAATTATACTCAACCTGTCAACCGGTTTGAGACTATTTTCACATGATTCGCTTTTATCTAACCTGAGGTTATCCTCAGTTCTTATACACGAAAATAGTACTGAAAAAGTCAAATATATAAACTTGTACTAAGTTGTTGAGTTGCATTCATAATTTCTACATCTACTCATTTTATACCATCGGTTGGCTTATATCAATCATTCAATCACAGTTGACCTACGACTACGTTTAATACTGTTACTTATTATACTACTCTGGCATCTCTTTGTGCTGATGTCATGTGGGAACTTGAATCAATGTGCCAGGTTCTGCGTTTCTCATGGCTGACTGATTGATGAAGTTAGTACGAAACATTTAATATAAGTTTCATTCTTGCTGTTACTTCAGCAAGCTTTATCTGGAATCACATTTGATATGAACACTTTGCAAAAAATATAACTCATGTGTCAAGTGTAAGCCTATGTTCACTGGTCTTCGAACAACACTTATTTAAGGTAGCTAGTGATATCCATTCGGCTACTGAAGTCAACGCAGGTGAAACGTGATTCGGAACTACGACTGAATAATTTTCAGAGTTAAAACCGATAAGCCATTAACATTCTGAAATAATCCGACACTCAACGTCGATGATACAACGATTTGGTAGATCAGTCAGTCAGTCAGCTACAACGTAGGATCAGGCATATTTATGCATCGATCCAAGTTGCCATACCTCATTAGCACAATAAGATGAACACCAGATTCATAAAAGTAGTTAATTTTTAGTGGTGGTAGTATATAAAAGATAGGTTGTATATAAGGATATATTACAGGAAGAAAGAAAGAAATGAAGCAATTTTAATCTAAAAGGTTTAAGGGAAGATAAATAGTGTATACACCTACGCCATTTTGATCGATTCTGAGCCATGTCATCTACAATCTCCAACCATTGGTTACGATAGTCACGTGGACCCCAAACAAGTAGTCTGCATCTACCAACATGGCTCAGATCAGAAGTCAGTGACTTCAAAGCACTAATGCCATGTTTTGGTTTGACCGCCTCTTTACTCTCTTCCAACCATCGCCAATACTAGTCAGCATAGCGCGTCGTAGTAATCGGTGTTCAGACACACGTAACACGTAACCTAACCGTCTCAGTCGATGAAGATTCATGACCTCGTCAACTGGTAGATGATTCGATTTATTTTCTCCTAAGTTTATTTATGTATATATATATAACCTGTGTATGCAAATCTATAGTGTTTTAATAATTGTCTCATAGTGTACATTCACAAGTTTTTCTCCTTATTTGTTTTGTCTTATAATAATAACCAATTTTAAGATTGTGTTAGTTACATAATAATGCACATATATAAACACATACACATACATGTATACATATATAATGGTTCGTATTGTTGGCTTAGATAATCAAGCTATGTTAGAGAGTTTGAAAAAGAGAGATATGTTGTATGTGTCTGAATAGTGTTGTGCTTCATTTAAATTATGTTAATTGTATAACTCATTAAGCAAGCATTATCGCATTGTATATTTGAAAGAGATGATGAATTTAGAACATGTTATCATCCATCATTTGACTTATATAATTAATATTCTGATAAATTGATAATTATATTTTCTATTTAACCTTTCAACCCTTTCACATAGTATTCACAGCGTATGTATTCACACTAATGAACAATGATGGTGGGTGTTGTTAAGTACGGTCACATTAAGAGAGAGACTTAACGACATAAGACTTTCGATATACATGTAAAGGAGTTTTTGATGGAGTTTTGTTCTTTGAGTTGGATGGTTTGGTGGTGGAGCTTTCATCGTACTTCTGAACGACATCATCAGCAGCACAAACTTCTGGTAGAAATGAAGTGTTTGAATTTATCCACATGTGTTTCATAGCTTGTCCTGTGCACCTCGATGTTGATTAATTCTTGTTGACCTTAAATCTGTCATTGTTTATTTCAACATCGAGGTGCACAGGACAAGCTGTGAATCGCATGTGGAGAAATTTAAACACTTCACTTCTACCCGAAGTTTGTGCTGCTGCTGATGTCGTTCAGAAGTACGATGAAAGCTCCACCACCAAACCATCCAACTCAGGGAACAAAACTCTATCAAAATCATCCACCTGAGCTACAAATCTTCTCTACCATGTAAGGGAGTTCTAGAGATCGCACTGTATATAGTAAGCGCTAGTATGGTGTGGAAACGTAAGCCGATGTACATATGTGACAGATTCTAATTTGTATATGACTGACTGATATAGAAAGAGGAAATCAGCTTAAAGAAACAATAATTTAAAGTAAACCGGGTGAATTAAATAGATAAACTAAACGTATTCTCTTCAGTTATATTCCCGCTTTATTTGAGGAAACGGTGACTTGGTTTAGATATTATCTAAAGTCAGACGTAGTGGTTTACTCGGTCATCATGAGATTATTTAAAAAGGCTAGATATGAAGTTGTATCATTTGTAGAGTGAATTCAACTTACTTTTATTCGACGAATCCTTTTGTTAAGAGCTATAAAGTGTATACTCATGTGTACTCACAGATCGACATCCATTAAAACATTAAACTAACAAATAAAGGGATTAAATACCTTTAATACTGTTACTAATTGTACTACTCTGGCATTTCTTTGTGCTGATGTCATTTGGGAGCTTGAATCAATGTGTCAGGTTTTGCGTTTCTCATGATTGATGCCAATAAGAGACTGACCAGTTGTAGTCCGAACACATCGATGGGAAGATTCAAACAAACAGTACTAAATGAATTTCAATTTAAAGGGATTAAATAGTTTGAAAATATGATATTACTCCTATTGACTCCGATTTAACTTTCAAAATCGCTTTCAATAACGTGAAATGTAATACCGGGAAGCTATTTCGTCTTATCATGAGACCCTTCAATAGTGTATACTAGCTGTCGGTCATTCATGAGTAACTAATCTCTATTAGGATGAAACTTCATTTAGTGATATGAAGAATCATGAATTGAATCTTCACCATAAGCGTCGAGAAATCGAACGGACATCAGTTTTACATAATTTATATTTCATGCATCATTGGTAAATGCAACTTTGTAACCTAGTAGGTGTTCAATCACTAGATTTTAATCATACTTATTACGGGTGGGGTCATTATTCTAAACTCTTTTCAAGGTGCTATTAAAGTTCTTGTACGTTCGTGCACTTGTACTTGGTTACTGTGTTTCGTTCTTATTTAATTCAGTTGGAATTGTCTTTTATCTATATACATTAATTTAAGTAAAGGTTGGTTTGAATGTATAACCTATTGTTGCCCCCCAAATGCCCTGGTATGGCCGAGAGTGGGGAGAGTTCGCTCTCCTTCTCGAAATGCTCTCACATGGACACGCGTATATAGCCTCTACCAGGGAAGTCCTACTCACTGCCTTCTCGTACCAGGGTGTTGTCTACGAAATTGAGAGGACGAAAAGCGAATGTCTGGCGCTTTAACCGGGTTGGTGGACATGGAGGGTCCACCTAGGGGAGTTGGAAAACCTTGATCGCAAGGCACTGGTGCACATGGACTCCAGTATCCTGAGGGAACAAATGGTGCATGAATCAAACGTTGGTCACCGGCTTCCACGAGACTGCATCTCCTTACGATGATCCACCGCTTTGTGGATCAGACCTTTAAATCAAAGGCTTCCCTAAGAAAACCACCTGCTTCAGTTTGGGCACGTGGGCAGTATCATAGCCTTCCCACAAATCAAATGAGATTTATGTGGTGCATATGTATTTGGTGCCCCTTTGTGCCAATATTTATGCTTTTAAATGAAACAAATAAATAAATAAGTTAAATGCGCTGGCGTGAAACTTGTAGGTCCTGAGTTCGAATCTCGTGAGGCGAGGTCGTGGATACGGACTGCTGAGGAGTCGCACAATAGGACGAAACGGACGTCCAGTGCTTCCAGGTTTTCCATGGTGGTCTAGCTTCAACTAATTCATGTTTTCAACTATGAAAATAAATAATAACTTATTGTTTGAATGTCTTCTGTCTAAATCACACTTAACCATATCTCTTCATCCTACATTATAATGTATTGATAATGTTTAGATACTGATTATCTTTTCAAATTCAATATTCAATTTAAATAATCCATATAAACAAACAAACAAATTCTTTCTAATAGAATAAGAAAAAAAGAACTTAATGACTTCATTGAAACATTCCTAAGTTCATTGTTTTTGATGTGTGTAGATTATCACCATCATCATCATTATACATATATATTATTTATAAAAAAAATATTGAACATTTAATAGTGTTTCTTTTAATTCAAATGAATTGTTTAATTTATCTCTCGTTCTTTCTTTTTGTCTTTGGTATTTTATCAAAAATGTAAATAAACTTTCAAAAAAAAAAAAAGAAAATGAATATTTTCAGTTAGTTAAATTGTCAGTCAATATGATAATACTACTGTTTGCACATTAGTCAGTCAGTCAGTCAGTCAGATACAACGTACGACCAGGCAAATATATCCATAGGTCCAAGTTGCTATGCCTCATTAGCACAATAAGATGAACACCAAATTCATAGAAATAGTTAATTTAGTGGTGGTGGTAGTATATAAGGATATAGCACAGGATGAAAGACAAATATGAAGCAATTTTAATCTAAAAGGTTTAAGGGAAGATAAATAGTGTATACACCTACGCGATTGTCATCGATTCTGAGCCATGTCACACAGAGTCTCAAACCATTGGTTACGATGGTCGCGCGGAACGCAACCAAGTAGTCTGCATCTGCTAATATGACTCAGACTAGAAGTTAGTGACTTTGTGGACTGATGCCATGTTTTGGTTTGGCTACTCCTAACTTTCTTCCAACCATCCCCTACACTAGTCAGCATAGCGCGTCGTGATTATCAGTGTTCAGACATACGTAACCCGTGGCTTAACCATCTCAATCGATGAAGACTCATGACTTTATAAATACGACGAAATAGAACATTGAGAATTAAATTTTAATCTCTTTTTTTTTCTGTATGACTTAATTATTAGTGAATTGATTAAGTAAATGTAATTATAGCTGGTGTCTTTTCATGGTGAAAACCGTTGATTTAATTTCTAACCCCGAATTCAAACTATAAATCTTAATGCTAATTCCTTATACTTATTTATAATCCTGTATTGACCCTAGCAAGTTGATAAATTATTTCCAGGTCACTCAAAGGTCGTCCATAAATTATAGTTTCACCGTGAAGTTTGTAGCTACACGGTGGATATCTACTAAAAATATGCTCCAATTAATCGTTAAAGTACTCAGTTTCCAGGAGGTTCAAAGCTATAATCTCTCCGTTTATATCACAAGTGTTTTTAAAGGCTTAGTTCAACAACCGTTCTCGTTTTGCATTATTGAGTTCCATTATTAATTGTTCCAAGTAGTTTAAAAAAAGCTGAAATTAACGTATCACATTGGCTACACAATAATCCATTTAAGTTTGTTTCTAAAACGTAGCGAAAATCGCTGTAGCTAATTGTCAATTCCGAATCTTTCTCCCCCCCCCTCTCTCCTTATATTCGATTTTCATCTGCATTCAAGATTTATGATCTGTTAATAATGCCCAGTAACACAAAACGAATATCCATCAAAAAACATTCTTGTTAATTAATGTATCATGTTATTTATATTAATTAGTTGTTTGAATACATTTAACGTTGACCAAGTGATCAGACATAAAACTTGTCTTTGTTCTTGGGTTTTCAATGTCATGAACACTTCTCAAATATACCGCAGTACAAGTGTACGTACTTGTAGTAGAGTTATATTTTATATGTATAAACAAGAGAATACTATTATTATTGCTACTACTACAACTTCTACTAATACTCCTTCTACTACTTCTACTCCTCCTCCTCCTACTACTACTCCTACTGCTACTACTACTACTCCTACTCCTACTCCTACTCCTCCTCCTCCTCCTACTGATACTCCTACTACTACAATCCAATAACTAAGACTCATTGTCTCCATAAATTTAACATTAATTATAAAAAAAAATAATATTCTATTTATTGTAGATTGATGAAATTGACGATAATGATTTGAATCCACTTATACTATCAGATTCTACAAAATTATCAATTCCTGTTGAAATGGTTTGTGATGACGATGATGATGTTGATGACGGTAATAAAAATGATGTAATCGGTGGAGAAACTGATAATTCCAAAAATGATCATGAATCTAATAAGAATCTCAAACAAATAAATGATAATAGCGGTGATAGTGGTGTTAGTCTTGAACAAACAACTTCTGAAAATCAATCAGATTCAGTAAGTGTGTTTTTTAATATTATTATTGTTTTTATATTCGATTTGTCAGTCAGTCAGTTAGCTACAACATAGGACCAGGCACATATATGCATCGGTCCAAGTTGCCATACCTCGTTAGCACAACAAGATGAGAACCGAATTCATAGAAGCACTTAGTTAAATGGTAATATATAAAAGAAAGATTGTGTATATAAGAATGTAGTACAGGGAGAAAGACAAATATGAAGCAATTTTAATCTCAAGGTTTAAGGGAAGATAAATAGTGTATACATGTTATGCTTGAAACTAAATCGATTCCGCGGTAACGAACGAAAGCCAAAGACACAATGACACGATAAGCTATTCTAATCTGTTGTCCCAGGCCCCGCTAACTAGATGAAGAAGTCCAAGGCAAGTAGGGGAATATATGTGTATTCCGTAAGCAGCCGAGTACAAGCAATCGAATGAGGGAAAAAGTCAAGCCCATTTAAACAGCAACAAATTGTCCTTGAGCATTATTAGTAAATAGCACACAGAAAGAAACAATGGACCAATAGCGTTTAAGATAGTTTACAAGTGGGAAATATGACGTGAAGGTAAAAGAGCGCTTTTGGCGCCAAAACAGCCAAATTCAAATTTTCAAAATAAAATTACAAAACTAAGCCATTTACCAAGTAAGTTCTGGGGATTTGACATACCCAACAATACACCTACGCGATTGTGATCGATTCTAATCCTTGTAACCTAGAGTTTTCAACCATTAGTTACGATAATCGCGCGAACCCCAACCAAGTAGTCTGCATCTACCAACATGACTCAGACTAGAAGTTACTGACTTTGTGGACTGATGTCACGTTTTTGGTTTGGCTGCCCCGTATTAGTCCGATTTTTTCTTCATTTAATTTCATTGACATATTTGAACCCCGTAGAGATAAATTGAAGATCATTATAAATGTATCCATGTTTTTTTCTTCACTCTTGAGGATATAATTGCAGGTCAGGTATATCAATTTGTATTTATTATAAACTAAATGATTAACAAACTAACTTTTTTACCTTTTGACATGACCTATCATTTCGAATTTTTCTTACTGTTAATCTGTATACTTGTAAAGTTAATTGTTCATGGAACGTGATTATATTAGTAGTATCTTGTCTATCGATTGGTTCATTGTTATTATTCTATATTCAAGGAATAGTAAATTCATTTATAAGTTAGGTCAAGGTTAACTAAATAGATGTAATGGAAATATTCATAAAATACTATTTTATTTAAATTAGTTCATGTATGAAGTACTATTAATCACTGTGTAATGTATATAAATTACTGTAAATTAACTTAATTGCAGTCTGTGTTCTTCGATTATTTAAATACATTTTACCATATTTCAAGCTAGCCCCCAAATGCCATGGTACGGCCGAGAGTGGAGAGAGTCCTCTTTCCCTCTCCAAATGCTCTCACATGGCCACGCGTATATAGCCTCTACGAGGGAAGTCCTACTCACTGCCTTCTCGTGCCACAGGTGTTGTTTACGAAATTGAGAAGATGAAAAGCGAATATCCGGCGCTTTAACCGGGTTGGTGTACACGGAGGTTCCACCTAGAAGAGTTGGAAAACTCTGATTCCAAAACAATGATGCACATGGACTCCAGTATCCTGAAGGAACAAATGGCGTATTAACCAATCGTTGGTCACCGGCTACCATGGGACTGCATCTCCTCACGATGCCCCACTGTCTCGTGGATCAGATCTTTAGGTCAAAGGCTCTGGGTGTGGCCTCCTAAGAAGACCACCTGTTTCTGTTTGGGCATACGGGTAGTATCCCAGCCTCACACAAATCAAATGAGATTTGTGTGGCGCATATGTATTTGGTGCTTCCTTGTACCAATATTTATGTGTTTAAATAATAATAATAATAATAATAATAATTTCAAACTTGATTCCAAGCTTGAAGCTGATATAACATCGGAGAAGTTGATGAGATATTTCTCTATATTCTTGAAAGCTGCAAACTATTTATAAGAGTACATTATCTTTATGCTACTGTATGTTAGTCAAGCTGTGTAGAGTTTTTCTTTTAACTGTGGTAAATTGGTAACAAAGAGAAAAATTTATCTTAACTTTCGAATTGGTTATCTCCACGGCTCACATCTTTGAACTACCTGTTCTTTATGCGATCCCTTTGCCATGAACTAATTAATCAGTATTCGCGAATACAGGCTTTCTTCGTCAACCAATCTATGATATAATATTGTCAAAGGAGATTGAAATGAATGGGTTGACTACGACCAATATGCAGGCCCTAGAAGACGATTTATATGACTCTTGTAATACCTTCCCATACTAAAGTATCTGAATTGAACGATACAGGATTTATTACAATCACAAGTCACTATATTTGCCTAAAAAATGTATTGGTAGTACAGAATCTGTTAAATTATTCATCAGTCATTTATAACAATAGGAATGGTTATTACTCTGTCAGATATCGTCATAATCATAATATACCACCGGTAAAACAGTAAACGATAACGAATCAAGCTTCATTCGAACGGGATCAAACAAAATTGCTGAATAAATGCTATTGCGTGAAGTTTTGGAACGTTCAAGCAAACCAATAGTACCGACATGTCAACTTCAGTTACAAAGATTTTGGGTCACTTCTGAATATCTAATGAGAATTCATCGCCTTTGGAGTTAACCAATTTGGGAATGAGATAATAGCTCAATGAATAACCAATTGAATGAAGATCAGACTCGAAAGTTGGTTACAGTTAAGATGGTTTATTGATTTTTCAACAATAAAAAAATTTTCATAGTTGAAATCATGAGTCAATTAAAGCTAGACCACCATGAAAAACCTGAAAGCACTGGACGGCCAATTCGTCCTATTATGGGACTCCTCAACAGTGCGCACCCGTGAGACTCGAACCCAGCTTATCGTCAAGCTATTCTAATACTCTTTGTAGACAAACTATCAAAAGATGTATAGATGATAAAACATATAAGAAGATAAACCCTATTTTTATAATGTACCTTCTTCATCTTAAAGCCTTACTCGGTATGATAATAAATAATAATAACTAGTTGCTCAAATGAATGTAGATGGATTGAGTGCTTAACTATCGGAATTCGAGTGTTTCAACCATTACAGATCACTGCTCCAATATTGTATGTTCTCTTGTTTTTTGCAATTAATTCAAGTCAATATCATATCATTACAGTCAGTCAGTCAGTCAGCTATAACGTAGGACCAAGCACATATATCCATCGGTCCAAGTTGCCATACCTCATTACAATCTAGTTTGTCGAATTATTACATCAATTCGTAAATATATATTTATCCGTTAAGTTTGTTTACGAGGTAACGGCAATTTGAACCGATGCATATATGTGCCTGGTCCTACGTTGTAGTTGACTGACTGTTAAGTTCGTTTTATTGTTAGATAAATCGGAAAGTGTCATATTTTATTGTTTTTTTAAGTTTAGACAAAAATTAGCAGACCAATTGTATTTTTAGAAGATTGTTTAATCTGTTCACTGGTCTGTTTTATTACTTATTTTCAAATTATCATTGTTTATTATAAGCAAAGATGGATAATAGCTAGCAGTGGAATCCAGGACACGCGTTTTGTCCTATTTGGGGGACTGGTCAGCTAAATGTACCTGCATCTCAGAGTTGATGTTCACTCTGAGACTCCAACCCAGTACCTTTCTCTTCAAACGCCATCACGTTATCCACTCAGCTACTGAGTCCTGATAGCCACTTGCTTCGATAGCGTTTGAAGCGAAAGCTACTGGGTTTGAGTCCCAGAGTGAACATCAACTCTGAGATGCAGGTTCATCCAGCTGACGAGTCCCAAATATTACGAAACGCTTGTTCTGGATTCCACTGCTAGTCAGTATCCATCTTTGCTTACAATACTGAGTGAATTTATCATTGTTTATATTACTAAGTATTATCATGTTTATGTTATTTTTGTTAGCACTATTATTTTATAAGGCATTCCATCATAAATTCATTGCTCTATATTACTCAATAATTCAACCAATCTCTTTCTTATTACACATATGTGAGTGTGCAGATTTTAATGTATTTTCCTCTATCTGATTAGTCATTACTTGTACATATAGTTCTACAACAATAATAACACATTCAACCATATGACAGCGAGTATATTACATGTAGGCTTTAAGTTACAGTTAGCTTTGTTACCTAAGTGGTAGCTATTGTAAAGCTGAATGATGCGGGTTCGAGTCTTAGAGGGTACATAAGTTCTCTCAAGATCTGAAATGTACTTTAATAACGTATTCCAAGTAGCAGGAAACTTGGACTCAGAGGATCCTCTCAAATACTTTCAACCTATTAACATATTCTTTCTAAAAATGATCCTTATCTCGTAAGTATTTTCGTGTTTTGTCGAGTGACATAAGCAATATGAAGTAGTACAGTTGGTTATTCACTGAATTGGTTGAAAGATGTTTGTTCTTTGTATTTCCAACCAGTTTTCTGCATTGTTTATTTGACATTTATTGTTGAAGTTCCTTTCGTTGTCTGAGTTTCAGTTGAAAATTTTTTAAAAAAAATGTAGCTACTTTTTAAAATCGAATACAATTCATTATGTTAGAAGGTTGAGAAAATGCGAGGCCTATCATTGGTTGCAATAGCTCGATCACGTTCTTTAAAGCAAGATTCACTACAGACAACCACTATACCAGTTGTGAAAATGCGTTCTAAAGTGAAACGTCGATCTACTATTGCACATGTCAGTCAAAGAACATCCGGTTCATTATTCACCTTCTCGTCAATCTACAAACCTAATATTATAACATTACCAACTAATACTAATCAGGTATCATGTGAAAAATCAATGAGTGCCATACAATCAAGGAATAATCATAATAAATCAACAATTACTAATCATCCTTTTAAAATTACTGTATGTCCTACATGGATAGATAAATCAATGACAACTGTAGATATACCATCTATCAAACCAACTATATCTAAGAAGATTTGGCGAACTGAAATCACTTTGCCAATTTTATCACTAATGTGTAGTTATGGAAACCCTCAACAACAACAACAACAACAACAACAACAACAACAACAAGTAAATATAATCCACTCTATTCTACTACGCACAGCTGGTTAAATCACTCAACACCTAATCATTATAAGTGCTCTAGATTCAATGCTGTTTGATTTGAAAAGAAATGGCAATAATAATAATAATAATGATCGATTGCACATTTGATCTATTATTACGTAATTTTTGTCATAAAAGTGATCATGCTTTTTCTTCTCTTCTCTATTATGCACTTTTGCTATAGAGAAAAAACTTTAAAAAAACTCAATGCACTTTTATAGTTGAATGCATGAATCAATTGAAGCTAGACCATCATGGAAAACCTGGAAGCATTGCTTGACGGCCAACTCGTCCTATTGTGGGGTTCCTTAGCAGTGTGCATCCAAGATCCTGTCTCGTGAGATTCGAATCCAGGACCTATCAGTCTCGCGCGCGAGCACTTCCAGGTTTTCCATGGTGGTCTAGCTTCAATTGATTTATGCTTTTAACTATAAAATTACTAAAATCTTCACAAACACTCTTTTCAATGCACTTTTATCAATCTATCTTTGAATTGGTTAACTTAAATTATGAGCTCTGTATTATGATTATTGTTGCTAGTTGTCTTATAGTTTATTAAAATGATTCACTATATAATTGATATTAATCATTAAGGGAACTTATATATAGATTTTATTGATTGTAATGCTTACCCATATGACTTAATTGAAGTTATTATATTATATAGATACTACCTCGATAATATCCATCTAATGCTTATTGAATCAAATTTATTCAGGTTATAGTCTCTGTTGCTGTTGATGTTTTTTTCTCGGGGGGGGGGTATATTTTTTACCACTTTTCCCTTGTTTACTCTAGTAATTATTAGTTTTAATATCTTATTATATGTGCATATATTTTTAGTCTAATCCAGTTCTAAATATTTTTATTGACTAGTCAGTTTTAACCTAGTTAGTTAGTCAGTCAACTACAACATAGGACCAGGCACAAATATGCATCGGTCCAAGTTGCCATTACCTCATTAGCACAACATGATGAACATCAAATTCGTAGAAGCAGTTGTTACTACAATTGTAGTTATATATAGTATTTGATTTATAGATAACTATTCATGCTTATAATAGTCGTTGATAAGATATACTAACCCATACACCATATGATTACCCCCTCTTTTAAACACACGGACTAAATCTCTTAAAGTCTTGTAATATGACTTTCAATTTCACTTTGATTGGCGTAGAGTTGATGAAACTCATGCTACTTCAGATCATAAAAATCTTTCGTTTATAGATTTATTAAATAAAGACAACTCTATGATCTTCTATGTTATGCTATTTAATGTTTTTTTTTATCACTAACATAATTCGATTAACTATTAACTAACCAATTATTTTTGAAATTACTGACGAGTCCCAAATAGGACGAAACGCGCATCCTGGATTCCACTGCTAACCACTTTTTTTAAAGTTAAAAGAGATTTTATTACATTACATAACATGCTATAATTGCTATTTTGCTTTTCGCTTTGTTTAATTATGCTTTATCTAATTCAATACAATCTAATCTTCATTATTAACATAATGCCTTCTCATTTCTTTTGTTTATGTATATCTACTCACACATTGTTTAGAATAACAAAATGAATGATCATGTAATTAATGAAATAGCTGATCAATTAATTACAGATGTAATCACTTCTAATACACAATCACCATCAATTACATCATGTGTATTTGAAATGATGAATGATATACATTCAACTATTATCAAATCACCAAATACTTCTAGTAATTCTCCTGCCACGAACATCACCATTACTGTTGTTCCTAATTCTACTGATAAGACCAAACATGTTACTAAGGTAAAAATAAAGCCCGTTTAGTATTTGACTTTTATCTTGTTTGTTTGTTCTATTTTACATGTTTGTGGCTTAAATGTTAAAGTATTTAAATTTTTTGCATATTTATATTCCCTACTCCACTTCAGTTTAAAATGCCATTATGTTTAATTGTGAAATGATGGGAATATCTAACAGTTTAGACCTCAAATCGTTCAGGTACTTACATCAATAATTAGGTTTCATGAACAGCCATCAATCGGTCATACTTTGTACCATTGTGTATCATCTATCGACCAGCATTATATCCTTTCATTCGTACAATGCTTCATAACAAGTAATTGATCATGCATAAAAGAGAATGGAGTACACGAATTTGTACAAACTGGTCTTAGAATTTAATTTCTAACACTTATTATCACATACTTTCTAAGAACACTATCTTCTTACGCGTGATTGAGTCTATTCGATATTGTCGACGACCTGATGCATAGCTGATTGTGCATACTGCTTATTTCAATTTAGTATTATTAACTATTTTGTTTAACAAATCAGTTAACCAAAACTAACACTATTATTATGTATAGTCCCTTGTTTTTTTATTCAATATTCCACACTAACTTCATTAGTTCTTGTTGGTATATGGGTCTTTTGAATGGAGGCCTAAATATACTGCTAGTATTTACAAATTGATTATAACTTGAATAGCAACATGAGTGTTAGTATTCAAGTCTCGAGTTTCGTCCTTTTTGAAACTCATCGACTGTTAGTGGTGTATTATATCATTTACGCTTTGTACAATGTTTATATTGTGTTTACTAAGTATTACTTTACAAATACTGAGGGGTAAACAAGTGATTTATACCCATTTAATTAATTTGATAATGATTACTATCAAATTATTTCGATACTGACCACTGAATTATACTCCTTCAATAACGTCTTCAAACCCTAATCTTTCCGATGACTGCTTCTACTCTTACTACCTCTACCACTATGGGATTTGAATTGACAACTGGATCTTTGTGCTAATGTGGTATGGCAACTCGAACTGATGTACGTACGTACGTACGTACGAAGTTCTACGTTGTGACTGGCTGACTGATAGATAACACTTGTTACTTAAAGCATCTTTTTTGTATGGAATACTTGATCCGTCTAATGAGATATTAGTGTTTTCCTCTTACATTGAGAGTTGATTATTATATATTATATCGTACAGTTTAGCTTGTCGTTTAAATCAGTTTTTATTAAATGTAATGTTGATCGTTTGTTGTTTCTCTTTAATTAATAAAACATCACCACATGTACGCCTTTTGTGGATTACTGCCATGAGTGGTAGTATTTTCATTTTTCTTCCTAGTTCACTAGTTCAGTCTATTTTACTTCTGTGGTAATGTGATTTATAGAAGTTGTCATACATTTATATCAGTTCCTTTGTTGCTTATGATGAGCTTTCTATGTAAAGGAATAATATGCCCCAAAATGCCTTGGTACGGGAGACTCCACACTCCCTCTTCAAATGCTCTCACATGGCCACGCGTATATAGCCTCTACGAGGGAAGTCTTACTGCCTTCTCGTTGCATTACTATTGTTTACGAAATTGAGAAGATGAATAGCGAATGTCCGGCGCTTAAACCGGATTAGTGGACACGGAAAGTCTATTTAGGGAAGTTGGAAAACTCTGATTCGAAACCAATCATGCACATGGACTCCAGCGTCCTGAAGGAACAAATGGCGTATGAATCAATGGTTGGTCACCGTCTATCATGGGACTGCATCTCTACACGATGCTCCACTTCCTTGTGGATCAGACTTTTAGATCAAAGGCTCAGGATGTGGTCCCCTAAGAAAACCACCTGTTTCTGTTTGGGCATAAGGGTAGTATCCCAGCCCTCACACAAATCAAATGAGATTTGTGTGGCGCATATGTATCTGGTGTACTAATATTTATGTGTTTAAATAAATAAAGGAATAATATAATTACCCGAAGTTTGTGCTGAGGATGTCGTTCAGAAGTACAATGAAAGCTCCACGATCAAACCATCCAGATCAGAGAACAAAACTCCATCAAAATAATATAATTATTGAATTCAGCTAGAGAAAATATCCACACAATAAATCTTTAGTTTTAGTTGTAAGCATAAGATATCTGAAGGGGTTTTGTGGTGATTTCAGTATTTTTCAAAGTTGAGAACATGAGTCATTTGAAGCTAGACCACCATTGAAAACCTGGAAGCACTGGACGGCCAACTCGTCCTATTGTGGGACTCCTCAGCGGTGCACATCCACGATCCCGCACTCATGAGATTCGAACTCATGACCTAACAATCTTGAGGAGTCCCATAATAGGACGAGTTGGCCGTCCAGTGCTTCCTGGTTTTCCATGGTGGTGTAGTTTCAATTGACTCACGATTTCAACTTTGTAAGATATCTGACTTAATGTTTGTAATCTTCATAACATATTTCACTGTCTGATGAGTAATAAACGTCTTTTCTACATCCTATTCATAAAATATACTTATTAACTATTTAAATCACACATGTTAATATCTGCTTTATATTCAGGTTAATGGTAATATTGACAATCGTGTTCGTGAAACAATTGTTCATCCTAAGAAACAATTGAATACATCAGAAACTACGGTACATAAATCTTCTGTCGTTAATGATATATTGAGAGATCCACCTTCATCATCATCTTCAACAACTGATTTTCATGATAATAATAATAAATCAAAAGTAGTTATATCTCCAGTAAGTCAGCTTTTGTTTTTTTAAAGTCATATAAAGGGTGGAATATGATTTTTCATTGTGAATGGGGGTTGTGTAACGTTAGTGTCTTGATTTTTTTTTAGATGACTGATTTCAGTCATTTATATTGAACATATTTAAACTATTTTTCTCATCATGTATGAACCTCTACTGACTAACCATTTAAAAGCCATAAGCACTAGACAGTTGTTTTGCTTTTGTTTGAAATTCTTCAACAGTGTATACCACTGGGCTCATAACATAACCACCCAAGACCTGAAGGTATCACGATACTTTAAATCCCATAAGTCAAAACCAGATACTTTTTATTTCACATTTCCGGCTATTCGCGTAATTTTCGATCGGTTTCATCAGTGATTTTCTTATTCATTCTTAACTCGCAGTATTTTCTTGTTCATCGCTGTTCACTAGAGCGATTTCAAGGTTAGACACAAGGTACTTAGTAAGGATCTGAAATATTTTGATGAGGTTATCAATTTTTATAGACTTAAATAGTTGTGACATATGCTACGTATGGACTGAGAGATATAGAATGTCCAGATTGTTTGTTTAAGGTCCGTGTAGTCATCGTAACCGACTACATGGGTTTTTCGAGTCTTCTTGCAATGTTGCAGATACAGTTACTATTTGTCTTCCTTTAGATCCTGAGTTTTAAAGCTCATACTTTTTTTTATTTCTGTGAATTAATTTTTCTCCTCGATTCAGATTGTCCATGCCTAGTGTTTTCTACTATCACTAATACGTTCACTATGTCTATTAATGTGAAATTAGTCATTCATCCCACTGTACCAAAAGAAACGTGGCAATTTAAACTAGTTCTGATCTAGATGATATTCATTGCTTAACCAGTTGAAATATAAGTATATGAGCGATAGATCCATTGATTATCACTAATTTTATCAGTCCTCTGGAGAACTGTATATGACCTAAGTCAATTGTCCTGTAATATCATTTGGATCACACTTTTCTATATTCTACTAACTGTTAATTTTAGACTATTAAATGGTTAAACTACGTGTATCCATTTTACTCGTTATAGACGCCTGAATTCATCTCACTGTTTGGACTTTATTCCTTTTTATTATATTTTCAGTTCATTCATCACTTGAAAGTAATTGAAATCAATGACTTATTAATTGTTATGTTGTATGTTTATAGAGCTCATCGAACACTTCATTTTATGTAGTGGTGTAGTATCACTAACTTTCAAGTGGACTGTATGACTGTAAGCTAATAACGGGAACCTATATTAAGGATGAATTCGAAATTTAGTCAAACAATTTACCATGATATGATAAGTAAAAGTGTTCTTTTATATAGTCAAGATCATGAATCAATTGAAGCTAGATCACTATGGAAAACCTGGAAGCAGAGATTGGTCGCGCAATTTTGTGGATTGGTTGAGGTTAGACATTAACACCGTTGGATGCCAGCCGGCTCAGTGGTCTATCGGTTAAGTGCTCTGGCGCGAGACTAGTAGGTCCTGGATTCGAATCTCGCGAGGCGGGATCGTGGATGTGCACTACTGAGGAGTCCCACAATAGGACGCGTTGGTCGTCCAGTGCTTCCAGGTTTTCCATGATGGTGTAGCTTCAAGTGACTCATGATCTTAACTTTAAAAAAATACTGAAATCTCCACAAAACCCCCTTGTTAAGTGTTCTTATAGGAATGAACACTTATTCGCCAATGATAGTCGATAGTCTGTTTGTAAGACATCCGTTAGTACTACTGTGGTGCGTGCTACTGATGTTGACAGATATAAGTATTATATATCATCAATCGAAAGTGAAATGCCTGGAGGCAGAAGGTTAAGAAACTCAAAGAAAAGAGAGTGATCGGTGTAGAAACGAAAGAACTTTGAAGCCTGAGACGACTGACGCTCACTTTGCAAATGAAGTATTCATTCTATGAATCTCAGATTTTACTGTGATTCTGTAATTTTGTGTTCAATTACATTTGATTGTCCCCGCTTATATTCTCGATCACTGCACTACTACTACTACTACTACTACTACTACCGTGATGTATGCTATTTCTGTCGACAGATATAAGTAGTATGTAACACAGATGGGAAGTGGGATGCCTACCATCAAAAGATTGTCAGTCAGTCAATAGTCGATTATTATCAGTCAGAAAGGGGTTTTGTGGATATTGTAGTTGTTTAATAATGGTCTAGAGGTTAAGCATTCGCTCACGAGACTGATAGGTCTTGGTTTCGAATCCCACAGGACGGGATCGTGGATGCACACTGTTGAGGAATCCCACAATAGAACGAAACGGCTGTCTATTGCTTCCAGGTTTTCCATGGTTGTCTAGCTTCAATTGACTCATGATCTCAACTATTAGATTATTATCAGTCAGTTAAACAAATGAACCATAACATTTCAATAGATTGATTACGTAACCTGAAATTACCACATACCACTAAATCAACAAATTTGACACGTTTCAATTTTTTATGTCAAAATAGGTTGTTGTTTTAAATGACCACTTTGTTTTGTTTATTTTGAACATGTCTTGTTCAATTAGATATTTTATAAGTTAAAACTTTAATCTTTATGTTTATTTATTCATGACAATGTAAATTGTTCACGTTTTCAGTCAGTGTTTCTTAGTCACTGCAAAAAATATTATTTCATTCACCAGGTACTTGAGTGTGTGCCATGCATGAATTGTAAAAACTAATGAAACTACTCGATTGTCCAAACCCAAATAGGTGGGGGTGACACTCGAGCCTGGGGATGACGCTTAATAGCTGAAATCTATTCAAACACATAAACATTGGTACATGGAAGTGTCAATTAAATAAGCGCCACATAAATCGAATGATTTCTGTGAGGCCTGGAAAATTGCCCGAGCGCCCAAACCTAAGCAAGTGGTTTACTCAGGGGGCCACTCCCCAAGCCTTTGACATACAGGTCTAATCCACAGGGTAGTGGAACAACGTTAGTAGGTACGCTTCCATGTTGCACGTTGACAAACAATAGGTTTATATGCCATTTGTCGCCTCAGGATCCTAGAGCCTATTTTTACCATTAGTTTGGAATCATGGTTTTCCAACTCTCCTAGGTGGATCTTGTTTATCTATCGACCCTGTTAAAGCACCTGACATTCGCTTTTCGTTCTGTAAATTTCATAAAGAACACCTGTGGTGTGACAAGGCAGTTATTATGAATTCCCTGTTTGTGGCTGTATACGTGTGGCCATCCTCAGCCATACCACGGCATTTAGGTGCCAGTAGCTGAAAACTGAATTCCTTAACCACTAAACATCGCTCCACTATAAGTATATTAGTTATGATTACAAAGTGAAAACGTATTTACTGTCACGATCAGGCCAACACAAAAGAAAAGGGGATATTTACAAAATAAGGATACGTTATCATGAGATGAGAATAGGTTTGTCTTGTTGATCGTTTCCGGATAATGTTCCATACTAGTTCTGCTAGATAGACTCAAATATTGTCGTGCGTGTTTGGGCACATACTTTGGTAGATATCCTAGGACAACACTCTTTTGCCTCTGTATTGAACAGACGACAAGCAATAGAATATACATAAATTTTTGTTCATTGCAACATGTTTTTCCTTCCTTATTTCCAACATTCATAATTTGATACCATCCTACCTTTGTGAAAATATTTCATATGCTGGATTATTAAGGTTTAACTCTATCTTAATTAATAATTGTTATTATTCTTTGGTGTTTACAAACTCATATGTAGTTGTCTAGCTTTTTAAGATGCAAGGTAAACAGTCAATTTGTGGTTTACGGGCTACATCGCGTATTAATCTTAGTTAGCAGCCTTAACTAGTAAGGTTCAACCATTTTAAATGTGAGGTAGAATTAACTGAAGTCAGACATTTAAACCATTAGTTTCCGACTCAGTGGTTTGAAGATTAGGCTCTCGCCACGGGAGTTGAATGTTCCGGGCTCGATCTCTGTTGAGGTCTTGGTTAGGTACAACTGAGAGGTCGCATACTGTGACGAGACAACTATCTAATACTTCTTGGTTGTTTAATAGTTGTCTAATTAAAGTTAATTCGTAGTGTAAAGTATAAAATTCAATTATCTGCCATAATATTGATCATTCTGTCTTCGTATATTACGATAGAATGTCCTTGTTTGAATTACGTCATATTGATTGTCTTGTACTTATTCATTTATTTATTATGAATTTCAGCTTAAACGTCAAAATAGCGCTTATCGTACAAGAACACGAACGCGTAGATTTGTTATTGATGGTCAAACAATTACTACAACATCTAAACGCATTGTGAACACAAATTTAGAAGACAAAAAGTTCCGTGAAGATGAACAGTAAGTTATTGTTTATGAAATATTTGTCTTTCAATTAATGATAATTGACAAGTTCCAACGTCATTGTATCAACTGGTCAATATGATTAACACGAACAATGTAACACAGATCCTAGTAAATAGACCTGTATCCGATAAATTAAGTATATAGATCAGAAGGGATTTTGTGGAGATTTCAGTATTTTCATAGTCAATTGAAGCTAGGCCACCATGGAAAACCTGGAAGTAACGGACGGCCGTCTCGTTCTATGTGGGACTCCTCAAGACTGTTAGGTCCTGAGTTCTAATCTCGCAAGGTGAGGTCGTGGATGTTCACTGCCGAGGAGTCCCACAATGGGACGAAACGGCCGTCCATTGCTTCTAGGTTTTCCCTGGTGGCTTATCTTCAATTGACTCACGCTTTCAATTATGAAAATACTAAATCTCCACAAAAACCCCTTCTGATAATAATTTTCTCATTGCTTTGTAACTGTTGAATTCTTCTGGTTCCATAAAAACATGAAGTGATATATGTATTCGGTTTAAATATATACCTATTAAGTCATTAAAATAAAACTTCATCAGTGAAGGAATCCATTTATAAGAGTTCATTTTAAAGCTTTACGATTGTGTATAAATGTGAAAATCCTGCTTCGTTTTGGGCTCCCGAGGAGTATTCCAGCTTTCACTCAAATCGAATGATCTGTATGGGGTATATGTATTTGGTGCCACCTTGTACCAATATATATATATATATATATATATATATATATATATATATATATATATAATGTAATGTGTTCTTTGGTCTTCCTCTTCTCCTTTGGCCTTGAGGATTCCATGTTAGGGTTTGTCTTGTGACGTAATTAGCTGATTTCCTCAAGGTGTGCCCAATCCACTTCCAGCGCTTTTTCCTGATTTCTTCCTCCGTTGAAATCTGGTTTGTTGTCTCCCACAGTAACTTGTTGCTGATAGTATGTGGCCATCGGATCCAAAGTATCTTGCGTAAGTCGATTAGTGTACCTTCTCTTTAAACCACACATTTCTATGTGGGTGGTGGGAGCCGATATCTAAATCATTTTGTCAAACTATTAACCATCAATAACTTTAATCACAATTAGTTACCATTTTGAAATTATATTACAAGATTAAATATACTTTTTTTCATTCGATTAATTTTCTATTTTACTCTTTTAGAACTAAACGTAAAGCTGCTTTACGTGCATTTAGAATATTAGCCAAACAAGAAGCACATCAAACACGTGAACTAAATGAACGTGCACAACAACAAATTGATATATTAGAGAATAAAATGAATGCAGAATTTTCAGTAGGTCTCCCTTGGGTTGTTTAGGGTATTTAACTATTTGCAATGTTACTAACTGTGTAATCCGTGACTGATGTTTCTTTTTGCTTGGTACTTATTATCACATGCATGTACATGGATTACAATGTTGATATCTATACTAAAACTTCATTACGGTACCTGTTATTTCGAATCCCAACTCATTATTTTTTTTTGTAAACCACTGAATTCAAATGACCATAATTTTTTTTTCAGAGAGTATGAAGGCGTTTGTAGTGGGTTTTCATTTTGCCCTTATTGTTAATACAGTTTACATTTGATCGGTGCCCCCAAATACCCTGGTACGGCCGAAAGTGAGGACAATCCACTCTCCCTCTCCAAATGCTCTCACATGGCCACGCGTATATAGCCTCTACAAGGGAAGTCCTACTCACTTCTTTCTCGTACCACAGGTGTTGTTTACGAAATTGGGAGGACGGAAAGCGAATGTCCAGCGCTTTAATGGGGTTGGTGGACACGGAAAGTCCACCTAGGCAAGTTGGAAAACCTTGATTTCAAACCAATGGTACACATGGGTTCCAGTATGCTGAGGGAACAAATGGCGTACGAATCAATCGTTGGTCACCGGTTACCATGTGACTGCATCTCCTCACAATGCTCCACTGCCTTGTGGATCAGACCTTTAAGTCAAAGGCACCAGGTGTGGCCACCTATGAAAACCACCTGCTTTAGTTTGGGCACCTGGGCAGTATCACAGCTCTCACACAAATCAAATGAGATTTCTATAGCGCATATATATCTGGTTCCCCTTTGTACCAATATTTATGTGTTTAGATAAATTTCTTCTTTTTAGTGAATCCCCGGATATTCACTTTATATCTTTCATACTTAACTGAGTGAGACTTTTGAGGTTCACATTTCTCGAGTAATAAGAATAGTTGTTTTTTTTTTCCTTTCGTAAAATCTTTCGTCTTCTTTTCGATTTTGTCAAATAGAATTTCTTAGTGTGATATAATTTACCCATTGTTTTGTCTAATTATATTCTAGTCGGTTACGTAATCGGTTCAATTTGTTTTCTTCAATTAATTATAATTTACATCACTTGTTACATTTTATGTTTTGTTTGTTTTGTAAAAAATGTAATTGTCTATATCTAACCAAAATATGATATTTTTGTTACAATTTTAAGAAAGGTCGAGGTCACATCCCATTACATCCGATTCACAATTCCATAAGATCTTATCCTTTCATAAACTAACTTATTTAATTTTTTTCTCTACCCATTGTTTCCTAGTTAAGTTTATTGTGTGCACGACTTTATTGATTACTGAGTTATGATCATTCTATTTCATGACTTCATATCGACTGAAAACAATCGAAAATTGTAAAGAAATGTATGGTTATAATGTTTGGGATACCTTAGTTAATAAAGTTGTAATGAATGGTTGAAACAGAACTGAAAATCATTTTTAAATAAATAGGATAAGACAGAAAATTGTCAAAAATTGACGTGGTATTTACATATTTTGAAAAAGAAAATAGTAATTATCAAAAGCGGGTTTTGTGAAGATTTTAGTAATTTTATAGTTGAGATCATAAGTCAATTGAAGCTAGACAACCATGGAAAACCTGAAAGCACTGGACGGCCGTTTCGTCCTATTGTGGGATTCCCCAACAGTATACATCCACGATCCCACCCCGCAAAATTCGAATCTAGGACCTATCGGTCTCGTGTGTGAACGCCTAACCTCTAGACCACTGAATCGGCATCCAACGGTGTTAATGTCTAACTTCAATTAATAAAATCTCCACAAAATCCCCTTTTGATAATAATCATATGAGAAGGAGTGACCAGTGGAGTTCAACCAGGTTTATTGTGAGATAGTTACTCACTGAAGACAATGGTGGACGGTTTCTCGATTTCGTAGATTAGTTGTAGTTAGACATTAACACCGTTGGATGCCAGCTCAGTTGTTTAGAGGTTAAGCGTTCATGTGCGAGGCAGCTAAATCCTGGGTTCGAATCTTGCGAGGCGGAGTCGTGGATGCGCCCTGCTGAGGAATCGCACAATAGGACGAAACAGCCGTCCAGTGCTTCCATATTTTCCATGGTGGTCTAGCCTCAATTGACTCACGATTTCAACTACAAAATTATAATTGTCCTTTATCATTATAAAATAAACGATGATATCATTGTAATGGCCGATATTTTTATAGACCTTAAGAAAAACTGAATGAAAACATGAAATCCAGAATAAAAAGGTATACTAAAAAAGTATGTTGATGATATCTTTATTACTTATAATAATATGAATCATACTTCTTATATCTTCTATTACTTCAACCGTTGCTACTACCTTGACATGGTGGTCTGCCTTGTCTACCGTGATGAACCAATCTAGCTATACTGGCTGGAACATTTGTTCCTCAAGGTTCTACCATACCAGACAGTTCGTTTGAAGAGAGGTAACACTAAAAGCAGCATACCTAAGGTCCGAAGGCGAAGTTCTACTTCTGACTGTATAGAGGTGTGATGGCAGTAAGGTGTCTCCTCCATACAGCCAGCATAACACCGATGCTTCCTTCCCACAAGGAGTGGTGGGGTTAGAAACGGTCGACCCTGAAAACACACACCTTCCTATGGATATACGTCTCCGACGGTAAGGTCTCACCAAGTACCGAGTTAACACGAAAATTACTCACAAAAAGGTTGTGTGTGACCTGCCTCAAACAGTTGTCCTTTAGGTACCTCTAGAAGAACCCTTCCACGGTGTGGGCGACCGGGAAGTGATGATCGCTCTCATACCCCTAACAACACTTAGGACCAATATATGCATAATAAATTTCCCTCTTCAATTGTTATTCATAATCCTTAACAACCTTCATTCAAGCATAAATTTTACAGTAAAATATAATCATTATTATTAATTCATTTCGTTGGGTCTTAGTGTAAGACATATAATAATTATCAGAAGGGGTTTTGTGGAGATTTAGTATTTTGCATAGTTGATAGCTGATAGTTGATAGATGATTTGGACTTCGCAGATGACCTAGCCCTCCTCTCTCATACACACGACCAAATGCAGATGAAGACAACAAATGTAGCAGCAGCCTCCGCATCGATAGGCCTCCACATTCACAAAGGAAAAAGCAAGATTCTCAAACGCAACACGGAGAACACCGACCCAATCACACTTGATGGCGAAACTCTGGAAGAGGTGGAAACATTCAAGTACCTGGGGAGCATCGTTGATAAACAAGGAGGATCGTTTGCAGATGTAAAGGCGAGAATTGGCAAAGCAAGTGCAGCATTTCTACAAATGAAGAGCATATGGAACTCAAAACAACTCTCAACCAATTTCAAGGTGAGAATCTTCAATATGAACGTCAAGACAGTCCTACTGTATGGAGCTGAAACGTGGAGAACTAATACGGCCATCATCAGGAAGGTACAAGTATTTATAAACAGTTGTTTACGCAAAATACTCAACATCCATTGGCCGGATACTATTAGCAACAGCGTTTTATGGGAGAGGACAAACCAGCTTCCAGTTGAAGAGGAAATTAGGAGAAGACGTTGAAATTGGATCGGGTATACATTAAGGAAATCACTAATGTGCATCACGACTCAATCCCTAACTTGGAATCCGGAAGGGAAGCGGAAGAGAGGAAGGCCAAAGAACACACTATGCCGGGAAATAGAAGCCGATATGAAAAGGATGAATAGCAACTGGAAAGAACTGGAAAGGAAGGCTCAGGACAGAGTTGGATGTAGAATGCTGGTGAGCGGCCTATGCTCCTCGACGAGGGGTAACAGGCGTAAGTAAGTAAGTATAGTTGATAGCGTGAGTCAATTGAAGCTAAACCACCATGGAAAACCTGAAAACACTGGACGGTCGTTTCGGTTCAGCTCTCTGGCTGGAAACTGGTAGGTCCTGGATTCGAATCTCGCGAGTGCGAGTTCGTGGATGCGCACTGCTGAGGAGTTCCATAATAGAACAAAGTGGCCGTCTAGTACTTCCATATTTTCCATGATGGTTTAGCTTCAATTGATTCATGATTTTTAACTAATATCTATCAAACTGTTTTTGTTTGTAACCATATTTTTCTTTATCATTTCAGGTTATTGTTGTTGTTGTTGTTGTTTTGTTTCTTTCTTAGCAACTAATGAAAGCACTTGTAATTGAATGAATTCTGTTTCTTTTATTATTCTGAAACATGTTTGTTATTCTTACTTTTATATTAAAATTATATTGTGTATAGGAGTTATTGGAACCAAATGAAATAAAATACAATCTCAACATTAATGTAACTTAACATTGTACTTCTTTTTTTGTAATTTTGTATCATTTAAAAAAAATAATAAAAAAATCAGATGAAATTCGTCATGGATACTGACATAAGTTAAGAAGATATCATTAGAAAGTAATGATCCAGTTTGTTGCTGAAACGTGACTTCTTAATGGTACTCACTCAAAAGTTGAAATCGAGATTAACAGGTCGTTCAATAAGAGTTTAAGATGAAATCAATGAATTGGTATCTAATGGTGTATACTCTTAACTATAATCAACTTACAATGTAATGTATTCATCATTTTGTATTATTATTGATGATTGTATCATTCTGGAATTATCTGATTTGAAGATAATTTTTGTTGCAGACTTATTTTTATTTGAACACATAAATATTGGTACAAAGGGGCACCAGATATATATGTGCCGCACAACTCTCATTTGATTTGTGTGAGGTCAGGGATACTTCCCGGGTGCCAAAAACCGAAGCAGGTGGTTTCCTTAGGGAGTCATACTCGCAGCCTTTGACCTGAAGATTTGATTCACAAAGCAATGGAGAATCGTGAGGAGATGCAGTCACATGGTAGTCGGTGACCAACGACTGATTCATACGCCATTTGTTCCTTCAGGATACTGGAGCCCATGTGCACCATTTGTTTGGAATCAGGGTTTTCCAACTTGCCTAGGTGCACTTTTCGTGTCCATCAACCCAATTAAAACGTCGGACATTCACTTTCCGTCCTCCCAATTTCGTAAACAACACCTGTGGCACAAGAAGGTGGTGAATAGGACTTCGCTGGCAGTAATTCTATACACGTGACCATATAAGAGCATATCGAGAGAGAGTGCTGGCCGTTTCGACTCTCGGCCGTACCAGGTCATTTGTGGGCTGTACTCCTTGATTATGTACACATGAAATATCACTCAGGATTGTAATAAAATAGTATACTATCAATACATTAAATTAGAATCCGTTGATGTATACTTTTCAATTTCGGGAAACTTGTCTAAACCACTTTTTGTGAGAATTATTTTATTCTAACTCTGATAGAAAGTCATATTGGAAATAAAAAAAGTGGACACGAATTCATTTACTGGATTTGTTTTATGGTTACACTTTAATGATTTTTGCGGTTATTTTTTCATGACATTGTTATTATTAATATGTTTTTTTAATTATCTTGGAAAAGATTATTTTGTTGGATTGACAGTTGTCAGATTATAAACCACACGTTTATTTTGAGGCTGTAGAGTTTCAGACCTTCCATCTCTTGTCCAGATGGACGGAAGAAGTTTACGTTGGTTTTTTTTCTTGTGAAAATATTTTTTTTTTTAGACCAAAATCCAAGACTCAATATTCCGAACTTAATTCTATTCGAGGTATATAGTACAATAATTATTCTCTAGTTAATGTTAATCCTGTCTTAATCGAACTTAATCTCGTCTCTATAAATCACCGAAGTTAACGATAACTAGCCTTTCGATTTTCTCTGAGAATTTTAGCGAAACTTGAAGACTCACTTTACAACGAAAAGTTAAATATAAACCTATTGCTTACAACACATTGTATTGTCTCTCTAACCATCAAATAATATGAATTATGTTGTGTGTCTCCAAACTTTTGATCTACATTTGGTTCATATATACATCACATGTAATTGTCTGAGTTACATGTGTATGTGAATCGAGTTCATCAAACTGTGTACTTTAGATTGTTATTTAAGTACAGTATTCGAACTCCAATTCAAAACATTAGAAAGAAACCAGGAGATAATGATCAGTATGATGTAACATTAGTTTGTTAATAGGGATCCTATCAGAAGGGGTTTTGTGGAGATTTCAGTATTTTCATAGTTGAAATCATGAGTCAATTAAAGGTAGACCACTATGAAAAGCCTGAAAGCACTGGACGGCCGTTTTGTCCTATTGTGGGACTCCTTAGAAATGCTCATCCACGATCCTGCCTCGTGGGATCCAATCTTCTAATAAAGCGGATTTATTAGTCATTAAGTGAATGAAATTTCTCGGTAACATGTGCAATAACTAGGTGTCGTTTGATTGTCATTTAAACAAAGAGTTACATTTCTTGATACAATAATACCTTTATCGATGCATCTGATATAGATATTTTTGTAAGCTTATCAAAATTGATTCATATCATATCTATTGTCCCCAATGTTAGTATATATGACTTCCAATTCCTTATAGTAATGTTCATACTACAACTTGGTCGATGGAGTCTGGTAACTACTGAAAACTAGGTAATCATGAATTGGGTTGCCAATTCGTGATAAATTAGCATAGTTTTTATTAAAAATTACTATTATTATTAGCTTTATTCAATATTATATTTTTGGTACAATGTAGAATTCTCAGCCCAAAGTATTTCAACAAGTTTCTGTTTCTTACTTCTTCGTCGATCCTGACGATAAATAATGAGTGATCGCCAAGTAAAAGTTAGCAGTCCAGTCAATCGACACCTGAATAATGTACGTTCGTTTCGCTGCATATTGCCAGCAACCACGACATCTCTCATTAGGTCTTTTGTAACCGTTACAGTAAAAGGTTGTACACTTTTCAGAAACGCACCTGAATTGGGTTGTGCGATGAATAGCCATAAAATAAACAAAATTAGATAACTTTTTGAAATATGTAGATGGCAGGAAAAGGTGCCCCAGATGTTTAAGCAGGCCGCTAATATATATGTTTCACTTAAGAAACCAACCAAGAGAGGTCTCTTTCATTTGAAAAGTTTCATTTTAATGTTTATATAGGGTTAAGTAGAGAAGTTATAACTAAATCATCATTGACCACTAATCGAAGCGATGTACGACAACATCATTAAGCTACTGTACAACTTCAACTAGGAAGTCTTGATAGACTAGAAATTCTCAGTTCTATCTTTTATATCATAGAGTCATATCACCTTACACATTAAACTTCACCATTCCCATTTAATGTTTATGAAATATTGAATCTTATTTTTATTGTATATATATAGACATTAACAAAAACATATGATCATAAAATGGAAATTGCTATACGTAATTATAAACTACAAATGGAACGATTAGATAAAGAATTCGAAGTTGAAATGAAACGTATTCGAACAGAAACTGTAAGTTTATATTCGGTAATTTGTATTTTAATTGGATAGAGTTGAGATCATGAATCAATTGAAGCTAGACCATCATGGAAAACTTGAAAGCACTGGACGGCTTTCCATGGTAATTTAGCTTCAATTGACTAATAAGATCAACTATATAAAATTTCCACAAAACCCCCTTATGATAAAATTGATTAGTTAAATGCTAAGAAATATAACTTATAATCTTTCTTTACATAGCCTTAGGATCGTATCCATTACTCTATGGTACATACGAACTATCTGTTTCGGTTTGAATATCATCTAAATGTGCATTATAATTTGATTCTTGTGACTTCATATTTATTTATTTAAGCACATAAATATTGGTACAAGAAAGTACCAAATACATATGCGCCACACAAATCTCATTTGATTTGTGTGAGGCTTTGGATACTGCCCGGGTGTTCAAACTGAAACAGGTGGTTTTCTCAGGGGGACACACCCCGAAACTTTGACCTAAAGGCCTGATCCACAAGGCAGTGGAGCACCGTAAAGAGATGTAGTCCCATGGCAGCCGGTGACCAACAATTGATTCATACGCCATTTGTCCCCTCACGATACTGGAGCCCTTGTGTACCAGTAGTTTGGAATCAGGGTTTTTCAACTCTTCTAGGTAGAATTTTTGTGTCCACCAACCCGGTTAAAGCACTGGACATTCGCTTTTCGTCATCTCAATTTTGTAAACAACAGTAATGCCACGAGATGGCAATGAGTAGGACTTCTCTGGTAGATGCTATATATGCGTGGCTATGTGAGCGTTTCGAGAGGGAGATCAAACTCTCTCCACTTTCAGCCGCACCAGGAGCAATCGCCTTCGACCGCCGGGATGGTATCCGGTCAACGAATGCTTAGTATCTTACATTGTTTGTAAATACATGTACTCTTTTGATGGTAGTTTTAGTAGTTGTCATTGTTTCAGCTCCTTATAGTAGAACAGTCTTTATGTTCATATTGAAAATTTTGACTTTGATATTATTCATTGATATTGGTATTTTTTACTTATTAATTTCTTTATTCTAGTCTAAAGAAGAACGTACATTTAAAGATCGTTTAAAAAATGAAATAGATACATATGATCGTGCAATGCGTAAAGCAGCTAAACGTGATCTTAATAAATATGATCATATTCATCAATCATCTAATTATGATATTAAATCTAATTCATCATTAACTTCATTAAAATCTAATAATTCTTCGACGACTACACCTAATACTACTAATACTACTACTACTAATAATAATAATAATAGTAGTTCACTTGTTTCACAACGTTTAACTATATTTCGTGAAAATCAAGAATCACGTATGAATAGTCGTATATATGATTTACATAATGAGTATAATAAACGTCGGAATTTAATACATTCAGAATATTTAAATGAAATTCATACATTAAGGCTAAGTAAGTGTTTTTCAGAAGGAGTTTTTTTTGGGAGATTTCAGTATTTTCATAGTTGAGATCATGTGCACTGCTGAGGAGGAGTCTCCACAATAGGAGCAAAAGTGCCATCCAGTGCTTCCAGGTTTTCTTTGGTGGTCTAGCTAGCTAGTTGACTCATGATATCAACTATGAGAATTATTTTTCATTTATTTCTAGGTAAACAAGTGTTAGAGGGAATTTGTCTGCTGTGACTTTAGAAAAAGTCTGTCGCCAATTGTTGTGATTTTAAGTGATTTTATCACGTAATTTATCCATCAATCGAAATACGACTTGTCTAATCTTAACACTGTGCCAAATCAATGACGTTCGACCAGTATGAGCACTCTAGTGTCCTTGTTGGTCCCTTGTCCGCTTAGCCCTTCCAGTTAAGTCCAAAAACACCAATTACAGCTTCAGCTATGCGAATCATTTATTTTAAGCATACTCGGTTTATATACTAGACAGACAGATAGAGCGCATCACACCATAAAATAGAAAATAACATATGCACAAGATCAAGCCAAATGTGTCTGTGAACGTCGGAGACAGTAATCAATAAACTGAGTATAATTTAGGAATTGTAATTCGTTTAATAATAATCAATAGGTCAAAATGAAGCTTATAATAAGATGAATATAGATATACACAATCTAATTACTCAATAGTTAAACAATAAGAATATACATAGAATAATCGTTCATTTTTAGGTCCCTACTTATGTCTTCTCTAGAATATAACACTGTCACTAAGCCCTTACTGGTCACATTGTAATTTGATCAGGATTTAGAATTAGACAAACATGGTATTGATCACTACTTAGTGATCAGTTCATATAAATATCTTAATCCTACAAGAGGAAATCGTCATTTGAGTAATTTTTAATGATAACGTCTCAGAATTTAGAGTTGAGTAAAGTTCAGTCGAATCTACTAAAGTGCATTAGTTCCCCCAAGATTTGATGTATACTTTGTACCGAACCTATATCAGGCAGAGTTTTCTAGTAGCTACCATATAATAACAGTCTTTGAATCAGTGAAATGTTCATTAGCTAATAAATAACCACTAAATGACCTCATAACTCATCCTGTTTGAAAAGTAAGCAATGAAATTATATTATGCTTTCAGACATTAAAAAATGTACTATCTATACTAGTCAGTAGTATCCAACAGAATATGACAAGCACTGAGAACTAGATGATGCAATCAACAAGTAATTTCACTTTTACTGTCTATTATTGATTGGGTACTAGATTAACATATAGATTGAGAAAATGTAAACGTTATATGAATAATCAATCTGTAAGCTTATGGACTACGCATTATCAGGCTTCATTTTGAAGATATATATATGCCATTGATATCAGTCAAAAGCCATGTCACCTAAAGTTTCCAGCTACAGGTTACGTTTTTCTCATGGACTTTAACCGAAAGGTTTCTTCATCTTGATATAGCTCAATCCAATAGCCATTGACTCCATAAATTCATGCCATCTCTGGGTGTGACTTATTTACATATGGTATTGATGTCTATTTTCCGCATTCATGATATTACGTTTATACAACTATTAATGATGATAGTATACCAGGAAAGTAAAGCCTTCTTACAGGCATTAGATAGAACGTTTTTAAAAAATAGTCTAGATACTTTAGGGTTTTGAGAACAACAAAGAAAAAACCTTTTACTCCTATTCATACCGGAACATTAAAGTGGGATGGTATACTGACTAACCATTCAACATATATTTAACGTTTTATCGATAATATTACCTTACCGTATTCAGCTTTTACCATGTTCTTTATTTTAATGCACCACACCGTTTCCCTTTTTTAATTCCTTTCAATACCACAATAAACAATTAACTGTAAAGATTTTGAAGAAGATAAATGGAGAACGGAACATCGTTTTTTATCTATGAAACATCAATTGGATAGAAATCGTCAGCTTGACTTATTTATGATTAAACGTGAACAGTTAACTGGTCGATCAGAACTTGAATTAACGGAATTGAAACAGGTATGTTATTAACAACCTCTTTGTCTGATATCATAATTTATTTATTTATTTAAACACATAAATATTGGTACAATGAAGCACCAGATAAATATGCGCCTCACAAATCTCATTCGATTTGTGTGAGGGCTGTGATACTGCCCAGGTGCCCAGACTGAAGCAGGTGGTTTTCTTAGTGGGCCACACCCCGAGCCTTTGACCTGAATGTCTGATCCACAAGGCAGTGGAGCATCGTGAGGAGATGCAGTGACATGGAAGCCGTTGACCAATGACAGGTTCGTCCGCCATTCGTTCCATCAGGATACTGGAGCCCATGTGCACCATTGGTTTGGAATCAGGGTTTTCCAACTCCCCCTCTGTGTCCACCAACCCGGTTAAAGCGCCGGACATTCGCTTTTCGTCCTCTCACTTTCGTAAACAACACCTGTGGCACGAGAAGGCAGTGAGTAGGACTTCCCTGGTAGAGGCTATATATTCGCTGGCCATGTGAGAGTATTTCGAGAGGGAGAGGTGACTCTCCCCACTCTCGGCCGTACCAGGGCATATCATAATAATCGGATGATAATGGTGTTGATGAAGTAGATATCCCACTTTGCTTCGAATTTATTTATCAACTTAATGCATCTTAGAGTAAAACAAGTCAAATACTAGAGTGCTTTTGAATGTATATATTTGAGACATTAATTAGTATGGATAGATGATGAGATGCTTGGGTGTGTAATACAATAAAAGCTGCTATAGGATCACTTAGATTCATCTACATGTATAAGCATGTAAATTAGAAGTAGTTCTGTAAATCTGTCAATATAACTCAAGAGGTGAATGAATTTTATGAACATTTAATCAATCAAATATCGTCATCGTACAGTAAGAATGCCCTGGTAAGGGCCCCCAAAATGCCATGATACGGGCGAGAGTGAGGAGAGTCCGCTCTCCCTCTCCAAATGCTCTCACATAGCTACTCGAATATATAGCCTGTACCAGGGAAGTCCTACTCACCACGGAGGTACTGTTCACGAAATTAAGAGAACGAAAAGCGAATGTCTGACGCTTTAACTGGGTCGGTGTACGCGGAAAGTTTACCTATGGGAGTTGGAAAACTCTGATTCCAAACCAATGGTGCACATGGGCTGACTCCAGTATCCTGAGGGAACAATTGGCGTATGAATCAATCGTTGGTCACCGGCTGTCATGGGACTACATCTCCTCACGATGCTCCATTGCCTTGTGGATTAGACCTTTAGGTCAAAGGCTCCGGGTAATGCTCCTTAAGAAAACCACCTGCTTCGATTTGGGCACCTGGGCAGTATCTCAGCCCTCACACAAATCGAATGAGATTTGTGCGGCGCATATTTATCTGGTGCTTCCTTGTACCAATATCTATGTGTTTAAATAAGTAAATAAAATAAGTGAGAATACCAAGTGCTAGGCTTTTGGTGTGATGTGGTTATTAATATTTATCTTGTTAGACAACTTAAAGTAGATGAACGGTTGGTTCTAATTTGAGACCTATTATTTGAATGTTGGATAATCGAACTAATAAACAGGGAATCATTTTTATCTGTCTGTGAAAATAAACAGATTTCCTTGATTAATTATTTAGGCCCGTGATATCAGATTATAAGAGAGGAGGGAAATTATATTGATTTAGTCTGAGTGTTGACTGACTCAACTAGACTGTCTACTTAGTACCAATCACCTTCTCCTGATCAATGTGAGATAGCAGCCTAGAGTAAAACTAAGTATCTATTGGTATAGAATGCAGTTTCCCATGCTTACTCACTCGACAACCAGAATACACAACAACTCAGCGAACAGACAACTTTCAAAGATTCAGTTCGAGTTTTTCAATCATTCATACAGTATAATATAGAGCAAGATCCCTACCGCTTATCAATAAAATTAAGAAATTACAATATGGGCATAATTGCTCTATAAGTGGAAGAGCCCTCAAATAGATTGACAATAATTTAGAAAAGATAAAACACAACAATAATTTGTGTGTCAGACAAAAAATTACAAGTAGAGGAGTAGTACAAGTTTACTTATTTGAACATATAAACATGGCACCATACTTCGTCATTCGATTTGTATGAGGGCTGGAAAATTGCCCGGGTGCCTAAACCGAAGCAATTGGTTTACTAAGGGGGCCACTCCCCAAGCCTTTGACATACAGGTCTAATCCACAGGGCAGCGGAGCAACGTTAGTAGGTACTATTCCATGTTAGACGTTGACCAACAATAGTTTTATACGCCATTTTTCCCTCGGGATCCTGGAGCTCATTTGCACCATTGGTTTGGAATCAGTGTTTTCCAACATTCCTAGGTGGATCCTTTGTATCTATCAACCCTGTTAAAGCGTCAGACATTCGCTTTTCGTCCTGTAAACTTCATAAAGAACACCTGTTGCATGGGAAGGCAATGAGTATGACTTCCCTGTTTGTGGATGTGTACGCGTGGTCACGTGTTAGCATCTGGAGTGGGGAAGCGGACTCATTCTACCCTCAGCCGTACAAGGGCATTTGAGGTCTACCGCTAAATGTATTGACTTAAATATTTAATAATAATACAACAAAAATTATTTAATGATTTCAGTAAAATTCGACAATCTCCACAACCTCATACTGAAGACAAATATATAAACGGTAACTTCAGATGGGAGATCGTTTCGGAACTTCGCTTTTGCTTTATGTTTATACCAACATAATAACACTTTAGATTGTATATTTATAAAAATTAATGGTTGATTGCTTGAATTAAATTTACTTTTATCAGTCCTAATGATATCATGGTTTAAGCATATAGTATGGCAACTCGAACTGATGTACGTACGTACAAAGTTCTACCTTGTGACTGATTTACTGAAGCATATTAGTATGAAATTGTAAGATCAGAAATAGTTCCCCATTGAAACAGTGTAATCTTAGAGTGAAAGATTGAAAGGTGAGAAACCCTATACATTTTAGTCACTTCAGATGTGTATATTATGTTTCATATTGTTATGTGAAAAGCCTACAAAATATCTTATTTTTAATGAAAGTAATGGATTTAGAATATTGTAAGCAAAGATGGATAGTGGTTAGAAGTGGAATCCAGGACGCGCGTTTCATCCTATTTGGGACAAAAGGTACTGGGTTCGAGTCCTGGAGTGAACACCAACTCTGAGATGCAGGTACATCCAGCCGACGAGTCCCAAATAGAACGAAACGCGCGTCCTGGATTCCACTGCTAGCCACTATCCATCTTTGCTTATAATGCTTGTTAATTAAGGTTTTATCGAGGCAATACGCACAGTATGCACATGTGCCAATAAGATACTGACCAGTTGCATTCCTAAAAACATCAATGGGAAGATTCAAACAAACAATACTAAGTGAATTAATGGATTTAGAGTTTGTTATTCATTTTTTGTATTGTTGTCACCGAGGCAAGAACAATATTGTGATTTTTAAAATTTCTTCATCTATCTTTATAATATTAAAGTTGATCCAGACATTTAATCATAGCAAAAGACTGGTTTTAATGAACCTTGTAACATTTGAGAAGTGTTCTGTATAGACTTTATTCGCTGTTATAAGTAATTGTATGTTCAAGTCCTACTCACTGCCTTCTCGTGGCGGGGGTGTTGTTCACGAAAGTGAGAGGATGAAAAGCGAATGTCCGGCGCTTTAACCGGCCGGGTTGGTGGACATGGAGGGTCCACCTAGGGGAGTTGGAAAACCCTGATTCCAAACTAATGGCGCACATGGGCTCCAGTATCCTGAGGGAACAAATGGCGAATGAACCAATTGTTGATCACCGACTACCATGGGACTGCATCTCCTTACGATGCTCCACTGCCTTATGGGTTAGACCTTTAGGCCAAAGGCTCCGGGTGTGGCAATCTATAAAAACCACCTGCTTCACACAAATCGAATGAAATTTGTATGGCGCATATTTATCTGGTGCTTCATTGTACCAATATTTATGTGTTTAAATAAATAAATAATATTCAAGTTTGGAAAAGTAATACTGTAGTTTATGTTACTTATACTAACATAAGTAGTATATAACACTAATCACAGGTGGAATGCCTAGCAGCAGAAAGTTTGGAAGATCCAACCGATGAGAACGAAAACAGAGAGTAATCTTTATAGCAATAAAGAAATGATGAAGTTCGACACAATTGATGAATGATTTGAGAACGAAGTATTGAACGTCGTATGGTCTTCAGATTTGACGAAGGAACCCTGTAAATCCGATTGGTTGCCTCCATATGTGTTCTCGTTCTCTGCAATAGCATTAAAACAGAAATTGACATACCTCACAGTAAATTTACTACTGTTCCTATAGATCAAAGACAGCTCTTCCAGATCATTTTCATCAACCACTTACTAGACCAACATCTTTTACTAATATCGTCTAATTGTAAGTGTTTTATTTGTTATTCTCTTTCACTGTGTAACCACAGAATAAACGTCTATATAACAATAATTAGTTGTTTTCTATTCTACCCATTTTCATTTTAGACAATCAACATGGAACGAAGTAAACTTCAAGCAATTCATTCCATAGAGAGAAAAAATTGTATCAGATCTATGAAATCTGTTCATAAACGTAGTATTCTGACATTACAACGTCAATCTAGACTCAATACTATCCAGGTAAGCAATTAGAGGTCGATGGGATGCTTTTCTCATCAATAATATAATTAGCTGTTTATTCTTCTAATAATCTAGTAACTATCTGAGTTGTATCATATTTGTATGCTCAAGTTACAGAATTACCAGTTGAGTTTTCATCAGTCTGCATTTGACACTAAACATCCTATGGGAAAGTTTTCCTTCGAATGTAAACAAATCAAACATCAAAGACCCAAAACTGTAGTCGTTTTCATAATGCATAAAACAGGACTTCCTTTTGCGTTGTATACTTGATTAGAGATGTCAAAGATAGTCTAGATAGACATAACTTGTTATGGCTTTTACCATACGTACATTGATCTTATTCCCCATACCAATAAAAGACGTAGATATTCAAATACAGAAATGTTTCGACAGTTCAGCCTAAAGTTACTCACAGATATAGGCTTCTGCTAGTCCATACGTAACCTTCATGACATTTAAATTTTATGTCCAAGCGATTCAAAGACAAATGTTTAAAAAACAATCGGGAATGTAGGAAAAAGTCAGCTGTCTTTAACATTCAGTTATTTTCCTTGTAATATAAACTTTACTATAAATGAAATTGATTCCATGTGTAGTTACTATGACTTATCAGTTGCTTATTATGAGTTTACTGGTTGTTGTTATAACTTTTGCCCTGTTAATGATTACGTTACTAAATCGCCAATTAGAACACCGACTTATACTACCTTGGCGCTGTGCCAAACTAATGACGTGTTAATCAGTACTAGCAGATTATAGTGAACTCTGTTTCCTTTCCTTATTGGTTCTTCTCGCTCAACTCACTCCGTTTGAGTCGAGAACACAATCTCAACTTCCACTGTGCGAGTAATGTATTTCAGACATACAGATCTCAACACACCATAAAATAAAAATTATCATACAAGTTCAAGCCAATAAGTGGCTGTGATTGTGAGAGGTTTTAACCAATAGATTGGAAATAACTTGAGAATAGTAAATCGTATGATTGTAGCCCATAGGTCAAGCTTATAACAAAAGAAATATGAATATACATACAATTTAGTTAATTAATAGTTATACCATAAAAATATCTTTACAATAAGTCTATAAATAGTTCCCGGAAGTTACCCATAATTTAATATTCTTCGGATATAATAGTTGTTACTTCTGTTCCTAATTGTGTAAAATATTCAGTCATCACCGTATCCATGTTCATTTACATAATCTTACCCCTGTTGCCACTGTCTCAGTCTCAATAAAAACGTTTACTATTACGGTTTCCAATTGAGCTTTACGATAATTGCTATTTACGAACGACTTCTATGGCATACTCGTTGGGACAGTGTATGACATGGTGTCGTGGCATGAAAGAAAGCTGCGAAGGGCTAGTTTCTGTTGGTCCTTCACGACTCCCTGGCTGGGGTCCGAGAGATGGTGCAGCACAGTAGCTAGAGACGTTATCAGATATGGCTCAGAATAGAAGCCAGTGGCAAACCTACTGTAACCTTCTTTTACTTTCTTCATAAAGAGTGGTTCTAACTTTCTTGATTGAAAGAGTTTTCTGGTTGTACATTTCCGTCCCCCTTATCTTTTCATTCTTTCTCTTCCTATTTTCATTAATTTGTGTGGCGCATATGTACCTGGTGCCCTTTTGTACCAATATGTATGTGTTTAAATAAATAAAACGTTGGGACAGTAACTAATGCACAACATCGCTCCAACATTAAAAATATACACACTAATGAGGGAGAAGAGGTGAGACTATAATTTATGGACGACCTTTGAACGAATCTTAAGTGACCTTGAGAAATATTGGACAATCAGCAAACAGTAGGTATGGAGTAAAAATGTATTATACAAAACCAAAGAATTAAAGTGGATATACACTTCTTTTACATAGTCCAAGCCATGCTAAGGTCGCGAAAACTCTCTCACCCTCGACCACATGACTTCAATATTGTTTGTATGTACTCCGGTTGTGTAAGTTTGTTATTTTTATTACGCATATATCCCTAAAGTACTCATACCACTGAACAGCCGAAGCTTCAGTAGCATCTGCGAATATTGTAGTCAATGTTACTGATGCTTTTATTATGCGGTTCGCTGCAATTATTGTGATTCGCCTTAGTCTCAATCTAGATCGAGCGAAAAAGTTCCTATTCTAGTTCCTATTCTACATCGAAGGATAACATCACCGTAGTCTGCACAAGGTCTACAAGTCATTTGATTACCGCGATTACAAGTAAACAAACTTCTTAGTAGTCCCATTTATTGTAGATGCTTAATTATCATGTCTTCTTCAAAACCCTCTATGAACTGATTGTTCATGAAGAAGTACTGAATTCGGCGCCGTGACCTTGAAATCCCTACAACTCTTCTGATTGGCTTGTCCAAAAATTATAGTCTCGCCGGAGAAGCTTTATATTCCGAACAAAAGTCAAACATTGAGATAGATTAGCTCCGTTTATACAACTTTGGTGCAAATGACTATGTTAGAAAACTAAAACTGTCAGCAACTAATCAGATAGCTGCAAAGTTCATAACGGAAATCCCAACCACAGAAATGTCATCGACGTTATCCTCTAAAGAAAGAATTAACATACTATAACGAAGATGAGAGAATCTGAGCTCTTATTAGCACTAATATACTCTAAGTTACTTTTTTAGCGTCTTCTTGTAAGTCATAGAATGATATTCGCATGCAATCCTTCTTCTTTATATATAATTTAAGATGAATGAAGCTCAAAAACGTATGAATGAAGAATTAGAATTATTAGAGTCTAAACAAAAAGATCAAACAGATGAATTGGAAAAGAGTATACATTTTCGATTACAAGAATTAGAACAAAGTACCATTGAAAAACGTAATGCTTTAATTGATCAAGAGACAAAACGTTTACAAGAATTAGATAATCGACATCAAAATGAAATGCGAATCTATTCAGAATCTTTACCACGAATAAAAGCTGTAAGTTAAAGTACTTTGTTTTATTATTATTAAGAGCCATATCATTCAATCGATGGTTAGCGACCTTGAATAACATGGCTCAAAATCGTTTACAATCGCGAAGGTGCATCCACTCTTTGTGTTCTGCCAAATTCTAATCTTCTGAATTCGTCATGTTTCTATCTTTTTTTCTCTTTCCAAATTTATTTTACTGGATTATACTCCTTGCACAACATCTTCAAACCCTTATCTTTCACATAATACTTTCACATTATACTCTTACTACTCATACCACTATGAGATTTGATGAATCGACAACTGCATCTCTGTGCTAATGTGGTATGGCAACTCGAACTTATGTATGTACGTACGTACGAAGTTCTACGTTGTGACTGACTGACTGACTGAATATTAAGAAAATCTATTACTTGTCTTAATTTTTTAAATACTTTCATATTTAACCAATTATGTAAGGATTTTGAAACTCCATTCATCTACTGTTAATTTGAGCATCTATCTGGATACTGGCTGAATTTTCGGTGCATGAATTTGTTACCAGCAAATAACGTGCATAACTAGCTAATGTAATTTATGTAAGGTTGTGTTCCGAAATAATTAATCACAGACCAGTTATACATGCTTAATTCTCAGTATAGGATTGTGGAGGTTGTTGAATTTTGATTAAAATCGTGATTTGACCAATGTTAGATCACTACTGAAAACCTAGAAGCACTGGAAGGTCGACGGATCTTAATCAAAACTCAACAATCTCCACAACCCTATATTGATAATAATCATGTGTTCACTAGTGACTAGCTTCGAGAGGTAATTCTCAGAGTTCTAATGAGAATATGTAACCAGTGAAGCTAATTCTTGTCGAGTTTTATTTTCTCATATATCAATCTTACAAAAGTAGTGATGAACTTGCTAATTATCTAATTAAAGTATTATACGATCCGTTGTCTCTAGATTTATGTGAGAAGTTTTTATTAAATCCTTACTGAACAAATTATCTTTCTCCGTTTATGAGTAATTCTCAAAGTATCTCAATATAGACCAAATAACAGTGTGATCACACCATTTTAAAGATATTCTGTACAAATATTCATTTCAGTTTAATTTATTTGGGCGTATAAATATTAGTACAAAGGGGCACCAGTTATATATATGTGAGGACTGGGATACTGCCCGAGTGCCCAAACTGAAGCAGGTGGTTCACTTAGGGGGACAAACCCGGAGCATTTGACCTAAAGGTCCTACCCATAAGGCAGTGCAGCATCGTATGGAGATGCAGTCCCACGGTAGCCGGTGATCAACCATTTGTTCCTTCAGGATCATGGAGCCCATGTGCGCCATTAGTTTGAAATCAGGGTTTTCCAACTCCCCTAGGTGGACTTTCCGGACACTCGCTTTTCGTCCTCTCAATTTCGTAAATAACACCCCCGCCACGAGAAGGCAGTGAGTAGGACTTCCGTGGTAGAGGCTGTATATTCGCGTGGCCATGTGAGAGCATTTGGAGAGGGAGAACGGACTCTCCCCACACATATATATGGAAATTCCTTATCTCATTTATATTAAACTATAACAGAATGTTGTTGTTTTTTTCTTCTTTTATTCTATTCAATGATTCTAGTTAATGAAAGAACAATTTGCTCAAGAATATAAAGAAGATTCATTTAAACTTCATAATTATAGATCATTTAGTCCAAAATCTCATAAATACCGACTACCAATACCTATGACAAGTTTAACTAATTTACGTTGGGGTTCATTATCTAATTCAAATACAAAATTAAATCATATCACAGAGCCTAGATCTCATCGAATTCTTACTTTATTCTCATCAGATTTGAATAATACTAAAACAAGTTCCACTGATTCAATGTGAATAGCTTTATATCATAGGAATATGATGTAATCATTATTCAATGATTACCTTATTCAATTCCTTTCTCTTTTCTTTTCTTTTTAATCTTTGGCTTGTTTTGTTTGCTCTTTTAACCTGTGGTTGTGATTCAAATAAATAATACTTTATCACATCCTTATTACCTAATTTATATATACATATACTACTACTAATACTACTATCTGGTTTTGTTTTCAATCAAAATGAAATGATCTAATTTGATCTTAAAAAACAATATAGAGAAATGATCCTATTTTTAATAAATGATCCAATGATCATTGACACTTTATACCATTTTATTACTGCTAATACTTGTAAAAAGAAAAGTATCACTTTATGCTCAGTCTCTCTCTGTGTGTTTGTGTGTGTGTGAGAGAGTGCACAATCCAATCTCTTTCGTATATATATTACCATATTTCCGATGAATGAAAATGCAAACTGTCTTCCATGATGATAATTATTATTATTTCGTAAGAACACCTTTGTTATTACATTTATAAATAAATAATTTTAATGAAACATACTACTTAATTGGAATGATAATTTATCAGTTAGTCAAATGGCTATATTCTTATATACACGAATAAAGTTAGGGGGGCGGCCAAATCAAAACGTGGTATCAGCGCTTGAAGTCACTAACTTCAAGTCTTAGTCATGTTGGTAGATGCAGATGACTTGGTTGGGGTCCATGTGACTATCATGATCAATGGTTGGAGACTCTATGTGACATGGATCAGAATCTATTACAATGGAATAGGTGTATATACTCTTTATTTTCCCTACTACTACTACTACTACCACCACCACTAAATTAACTACTTCTATGAATTTGGTGTTCATCTTATTGTGCTAACGAGGTATGGCAACTTGGACCGATGCATAAATGTGCTTGGTCCGGCGTTGTAACTGACTGACAGTCAAATCGCATAATGATAGAAGTAGTAAGAGTATGAACAGTGGTCGGAAAGATTAGTGTTTGAAGATGTTATTAAAGGAGTATAATCTAGTGAAATAAATTTGAAAAGATAAAAAGTATAGGGACATGAAGAATGCAGTAGATTAGAATTTGGTAGAACACAAAGAGTGTATGCACCTTCGCCATTGCAAACGATTTTGAGACATGTCATTCAAGGTCTCTAACCATCGATTGCTATCATCTCGCGGATCCCAACCAGGTAGTCTACACCTACCAACAAGGCTCAGTCCACTTGTCAGTGACTTCATGGATTTGTGCCATGTTTTGATTTGGCCGCCCCTACCTTTCTTCCAATCTACTCCTACACCATAAAACATTGCACGTCGGGGCAATCGGTGGTTGGGCATACGTAACACGTATCCCAGTCATCTCAACTGTTAATGTTTCACTACTTCATCCATTGATTTGCCATCCTTACCTAGTATCCGTTTCCTAACAAGTGCATTACCTACTCGGTGGTTCCTGGCTCGACCTTGTCTAACCTCTTTCTTCCTTGTGAGAAGACAGCATCTCTGCAGATGCTGGTTGTCCGAAGAAAACACCTTACTTCTGTCACAATCCTCTACAGTCAGTAGTAGGACTTTGCCATGGGACCTTGAGTTGCTAATTTTAGTCTTACCGTTCTCCAGTCGGCCTGCCTGGCATTGTAGAACTTACAGGAACATATGTTTCAGCCAATATAGCTCGGTTAGGTCATCACGATTGGCAAGCCAGACCACCACGTTAAGGTAGCAGCTACGGTCGAGAACGACAATGTATATCTAAATTAGTTGTTTTTACAGTGTTATCTTTCGTTTTGTCGCTACTGTTTTTTTCTTACATTCAATCGTTTGATTGGCGTAGACGTCTTCTGTCGCTCTTTTAGTCAGATTTCGCTGTTATATTCGCCAATCAATCGGATGAATAATTATATTGTAGAGCTGTTATGTACATTGTATACGTTTTCGAGTATATCTCGCATATATATAATAATTCATTTGACCATTATGACAGTCCGTTTTCGGTATAGCTTTGAAGAGATGGTTGAGCTTCATTGAAATCATGAACCAATCAATGTTAGACCATATGAGGGAACGCAGGAATTTCTAGTATGGGACTCCAGAAGTGCACATCGACGACCTTCAGTCCCCCTCATAAGCCACCTGCTACGAGTACTATGTTTTAGCGTTTAGCTTTTTGAAGAAGTTCAGAGAGCTTTCTGTAAAAGTCATCTTTCATTTAATGCAATCAGTGGGAGCGTAAGCAGAAACGACAAAAAGGCAACGACGTGTCCCTATCCTTCCGAGTTCTTACGGAGTAGTTTAGCCGAACAGGCAATTGTTATCAGGGATCCATCCTAATAATGCTTGTTTTGCAGTCGTACTTAATGCTGTACCTACACCGGCCAGTCCATGAGAACTAGCCATCAGGTCGCCAGGTACACGGAGGGTGTATCTCGTCGGCTCACCGTTTTCGCGAGAAGTCAAGTGAATGACCACGGTAGGATCCTGTATGTGCTTTTCAGAGACACTACATCAATGGTAGGAAATTCTAGGGTTTTACTCAAGGAGGATAGCTGACCGATTTGAAATAAGGTGCGTACGTTGAGTGCTCCGACGTGTAGTTTGGAGCGCCGTTTCAGTAGACGTGGGACAAAGTTTCACGCACTAGAATCGTTGGCCATGCTGACACTTGAGGAGGAAGTTAAAAGAGCAAGTTTAGAGATGAAAGTCAACATAGAAGAAATAATAGGAATTTAATAGAGATATTAATTATTAACACAGTTATCTTGAGTGCTGTTAGAGGTATGAGGGCAGTTATCACTTCTCAGTCGCCTACACCGTGGAAGTGTTCTCCTGGAGGTACCGGAAAAGGAGATGGGCTTAGAGGGGTCGTCTTAGTGACCCGAGAGCGTGACCGGAGTGCTCAAGGGACATCTGCCTGAGGTCAGTCACACACGACCTTTTTGGGTTGGCTACGTATTTGTTGGGACCTTACTGCCGGAAACCGTTTCTAACCCAACCCCTCATTGTGGGAAGGCAGCATCGCTGTTATTCTGGTTGTCTGAAGGAAACATCTTACTGCCACCACACCTCTGTACAGTCAGAAGTACAACTTCGCCTTCAGACCTTGAGTTTGTTGCTTTTAGTCCTACCGCTCTTCAACCGACCTGTCTGGCGTGGTAGGACATTGAGGAACGAATGTTCCAGCCAGTATAGCCCGATAGGTTCACCATAGGCAAGTTCGACCATCATGTCAAGATAGCAGCAACGGTCAATACCACACATATATATGTATACCGTCCATATGTATTACATACCATTTGAGATGGAAACCAGAAAAAGGAGTTCGTCAAAGGATACGTTATTACTTGATATTGATACCTGTTCAAAAGAAAACTACTAAAACGATATACCTTTTTGATTCAATCAGTGTTACTGTGTGAAACTGTATGAAACAGCCTTGCAAGGCAAATTTATGTTAATTACTGGTATTTGTTCATAAGTGTTTTCAAAGTATTGTTCACATGCCATAAAAACCATGTGAATAGATAACAAGTACGTAATAAAAGTACCCAATCAATTATGAAACTATATGTTTATATGATTGGAAAATATACTGATCAGACCAGGACATATGATAGTTTAAATTCATTAAGTCATTGACTCATGTGATAATCTGATAACTTGTTTACTGTAATCTGCAAGCTAACTATAATTTCTGAGTACAGACCACATATGAGATAGTTCAAAAATAGCGCCAATCGAACAGATAAATTTAGTTCTTAACTTCCTCCCTAGACTTTGAACTTATTATTATCACGCATTATTCATTCTCCGACCATATTTGTAAATCCACCAAGTTCATATTTCCCATTACTATTGATACTGATATTTTGAGTTTTTCCTTTGCCATATTAATACTTCTAATTATAGTTACCTCATTCACTAGGTACACCCTTCCACGGTGTGGGCAACCGGGAAGTGATATTAGCCCTCATACCCGTAACAGCACACGAGACCGAATTGGTCACTTTCAAATCCTTCCTACACCTAATAACTCTGTTATCTCCTCGACTAACCCTTCCCACGTCGTTTTATCACCTCGCACCGCTAGGGCAAACGATTCGAGTACACAGAACGTTATTCCTGGTCTCCTGAAACCACGCTCTAAACTACATATAGGAACTTTTAATGTCCGAACATTGTGCCAAATAGGACAACAGGCTTCCTTAGCTAGGACTTTAGAATCTTACACCATCGATGTGTGCTGCGTCTCCGAAAGGCGCATACAAGATCCGAGTAGTGTCATTCATTTGACCGCACCTAATCAAAATAAAGTTTCATCTCCATGCACGCTCCGTGTATCTGGAAGCCCTGATGCTGCTTCCCGTGGCCTCGCTGGAGTAGGTATAGCATTAAGTCGTAGGGCAGAACTAGCTCTTTTAGACTGGATCCCAGTAGACAGTCGTCTATGCGCTGTCCGACTAAACGGATCAGTAAGGACCCGGAAAGATAGGGAAACTCGTCGTTGCCTCTTCGCCGTCTCTGCCTACTCTCTCACTGACTGCAGCTCAAACAATATAAAAGATGTGTTCTACAGGAAACTTTCTGACCTTCTCCGAAAAGCTAGGCGATCTGATGCAGTAATAGTGTCTGGTGACTTTAATGCTCAAGTAGGTAAACTAAGTGAAAGACACCTGGGTGGATCTTATGGTGTCATGGCGAAAAGAACAGATAATGGCGACCGTCTGTTGCAGTTATGCTCAGATAACCGCCTATTTCTTGTAAATACTAACTTTAAGCATAATGAAAAACATCTTTTGACATGGCGACCCCCGAATTAGTTCCAATGTTGGACCCAATTAGATCACATCGCTATCAGCCACCAATGGAGGGGCTCGATAGAAGACTGGAGCACATGTTTAGACTTAGATCATGCTCTAGTGCGAGCACGTATCTGTCTGGACGTAGGAAAGACACTGCCGGGAAGCCTCTAAGGGTTCTACTTAATGATAGGCAAGCTA